AGGGAGGGAGGGAGACACACAGAGACAGAGAGACAGATGGATATAGAGACACCTGTGTTCAAATGGGTGTATTGTGTTCACTGCCTGTCTTCTGCACCAGCAAAGGCACGCACTGGAGGGCAAATGCAGCCGTCGCTGGGCCGCTCAGCTCACTGCACACACCAACTCATGCACACAAAGATACACACACATGATCGATTGGATGCGGTGCGAGACAATGCATGCCCCTCTCCGTCTCTCTCCCAGCACATTGCCGAGCCCGCCAGAGCGAAGTAGGCGAAGAGCGGCAGAGCGATCGCAGAAAGCACCTTCAGCCACACGCGCATCGACACAGCCATCAGATCCTTCTCGCGAGGCAGCACCAAACCAAACGCCACACCACGACCGGCCGGCACACCTAACCAGTCAAGCAAGAGCAGTCGGGTGCTCGTATTCGTGCTAAGCTCGGCTCTCTTGACCGACCAGGGACGGCACGGAGCGGCGGCGGGGTGATCATTCGCGACGTGTCGCTGACACACACACACACACAGAGAGAGAGAGAGAGGGAGAGAGACTCACGAGCGAACATGAGTGAGTGAGTGAATGTCTCCCTCTCTCTCTTGTGTTGTGTTGTGAATGAGCCCGCCCACCCAGCGACGGGATACGGTGCGACTTTGTTGTGTTGTAAGCTGATGTGCACGGGCAGTCCATCGCGGCCGACGAGTGTGCGGTGGCCATTATGGTGTGTGTTGGTGCGCTCGTACGAGTGGACAGCGCCATGTGACGCCAACCACTGATTGATTGCATTGCTGTGTGTCACATGGAGTAGATTTTCTCTCTCTCTATCTTTCAATCTGCCGTCCGTCTGTCCGCTGTCCGTTCATTCCTTCCGCCCTTTCTACCTTTCTTCTGTCTTGTCCAGCATCCACCCATCCGTCCACCCCGCCCGCCCGGCGCATGCCATGCACTCAGTCAGTCATTAATGAATGAGACACAGCCAGCCAGCCAGCCAGCCAGACACGTATGTATCACTACTAGTCCAAGTGGGACTTCCAGTCGCAGCTTCTTGTCGACGTAACTGTCAACTCATCGGTATTGTCGTAGAAGAAGAGCTTGCATGCCAGCCCCTTTCCGCACCATTTCGTGAAGCCACAGTGATCCCCAAAATCGCCGCGTTCCTGCGCTCATACACACACGCATACAGAGTCACAGTCCGTGCAGGCACCACGTATTCGGCCTGGTTGGATCGGCACTTGGATCGTCACTGGCTGTTGTCCTTTTCTCTTTTCGCACCTTGCAGAGACCCTCCTGGTCAATCTTGCCGGTCTCGTCGTCAACCTGCTTGTAGCATTTCAGGCCTTTGGGGCAGTCCTTGCTCTTCGTGCAGGGCTCGGGCAGGCTGTCCTCAATGCGAATGTGTTCGGCGGAGAAGAGGATGGAGAGCCCCATTGCAGTGAAAAACACCGCGGCAAGGGCGACGAAGAGCGCGAGCTTCAGGCCGGCCACCATAACGGAGAGGACGTCGGTTCAGGCGTGCGTGCCAAACGAAAAGAAAAGAAAGAAACTTGAACTTCAAGGTGCGCCTGAGGGCCGCCTTTGCGAGCTGTGTGCAGGCCCCCCCCTCCGCATGCAGCAACTTGAACAAGCAGGATCCCCAACTGACAGTCAGCTCTCGTGTACATAGCAGACAGACAGACGGAGAGGCAAACAGATATATCACTACAGTCCTGACATCGTAAGTGGGTCACCGCATAAGCGGGTCAATTGCGTATGTGGGTCAGCCCCTCCCGATCACTCTGTACACAGTCAAAGACGGACCGGATAACCGGGTCAGCTCCCAAAGAGACTCAAATCAGCCATCCAAACCGACCATTCATAGCTCAAAATGACCGCAAGACGATGACGAACCTCTCTGTGAAAGAGCGGACCGATGAAAGAGTGATTCCATGGAGAAATACAGACATTTTGATGGTCATCTTCTGAGACGAATCAAAAGGCGACAAAAAGGCGAGTTTGCTTGGCGAGGTTGATCACGATGTAAACGGAAGAGCAGCTGCTTCACGTTTGAGGCACGAACACCCATTTGTGACAAGCAAGAGGGTGGTCAACAGAGTCACCTGAGGCATCTGGCGTCATTCATCAGCCGAACACACGTTTGTGCAGCCATGATGTGACTGCAGTCATTCCATGCATGATGCATCACTTCGCCCTCCGCCCACCCACCCGCCCCATCCGCCCACCCACTCATCGTGAGAGCGATTTGATGGCCATTTCGACTGATGCATTCACTGCTGCAGGCGGCGGGAAGGCATGATTTATGTGATTTGCTTCCTGTTATGCTTGCTGTTCATGCCTTTCGTGCCATCATGGGCCCATCAGACACCGTTGATGACGCCAAGTGCATGTGTCGACGACGAATCTTTTTGCAAAATCACTCAGGCTGCATCACTTTGCGTGGCGTGTGTGGAGATCAACGATGAATCAAACATTCGGAGACATCCAATGGCTCTCGCAGCCATCCAAGGTCTGATTGAATGAATGAGAGAACGAACAGACGGTTTTTCGTCGTTTTGAGTGACTTTGAGCGAGAAAAAAAGAGTCAATGGGCTTCTGAGAGGCTCCTGTGATTCATTCACAGCGAAATATCACTCCAAAAGTCGCTGGAAAACAAGTGGGTCAGCTCTGTAGTACGTATAAGCGGGTCAAACGCGTAAGTGGGTCAGCCCTGTACTGACCCACTTACGCGGTCCGGACTGTACCAGGAAGGGTCTGGCCAAAAAGTTGACTTTGTAGCCAAAGCTAGCTTTTTGAGCTGCGAGCTGTCGATCTGGGCGAAAGGTGACTTTCCGAAGCAAAAAGACAGCTTCCTCCACCAAAAAGATGGCTTTCTGACCAAAAAGATGACTCGCCATTGCAAAAAGATAGATCATCCATCAAAAAGATAGCTTCTTGGTTCGCTGCTGTGACTGTGTGTACAGTACTAATCAGCCATCGATCACATCGATCACACAGTCACAACGCGTACGTACGTACATCGATCACATCGATTACGCCGCTCATTCAATCGGTCGCCTACGGCAGACCGAGAAAGACACATCAATCTTTATCGCCCGCCTGCCTGCCTGCCTGTGGGTCGGTGTGAGTGCATCGTGTCTGAGTGTGTTCTGGTTAACTATATAAGGTGGGTGCATTTGCGTGTGGTTTGTGCAGTCTGGGATGAATGACATGCGTCCATGAACCGATCGATGTCGCGAGAGTGTGAGTGTGAGTGTGTGTGCATGTGTGTATGCGTGTGGCTGTCTGGATGTGTGCTCCGATCCCGTGTGTGAACACTACCACATATGGCCGAGGGATTTGGTGCCGATCCAGTGAGACACTAAATGGACACACCACTAATTCCCTGAGGACGCATTGCCACTTGATGACCAAAGCTGTCGCAAGAGAGAGCGCATTTCATCATGCAGTCAATTGTCATGTGTGTGGGCACACACCCAAGCACCGCACACGGACACGACGCACGCAACACAGAGCACACGCTCACGAATGGATGAATATACATACATACATATAGTACATAGATACATATATATATATATGGCCTTTCATAGATAAAAGGATCGATAAAAGGCTAGGCACGAACAACCATCCCCAGCCAACTCCCACACTCACCTGGCTGTCAACGCGTGCAGGTGCTCTCTACACCCCTGTCTGGGCGTCGCAATCAGCTGTGATTGATGGGACACGGCCAAAAGATATCTGTCCCTGTCACAGCACACGCCGCCGAACGGCGGAAGGGGAAAAATGAGAGCACACACGAAAATAAACGCAGCAGATGGCACGCACACAGACAGGCAGGCAGGCAGGCATGCAGGCAGGCAGGGAGGGAGGGAGGGATAAAAGGGCAGGAGTATCCATCCGTCCATCCGCTCCCCGTCTCTAGATAAAAGACACCCCACCAAGCGATCACCACATATATGTGTGTATGCGATTTCGCATGTATGTATGTATGCATGTGGATACAGGTAGCCCGGCCCATCCCTTCATTCGTCCATCCATCCATCCATCCATTCACTCGATTCCCATAAGGTTGTCGATGTTGGCAGACGGCACGCAGCTACCGGGCGACCTCTCGCCGTCCACCTCCATGGCACCACGGCTGTCCTTGCCGCGCCTCTCCCGCCGCCCACGGTTGATCGCCTGCTTGCGGGGGGCCTGGCTGCTCCTGCCCTTGACGATGGCCACAGAAGGAGTGCCCTTCGTCAAGGAATGGACGTCAGGCCCCGAAAACTCATGGAATGGAGGCGGGGAAGGGGAGGGGTGTGCGGGCTTGCTCCGCTTGTTGCTGCTGCCCTTGCTGCCGTTGCCGCTGTGTCTGTCGTCGTCGTTCCCAAAGTCTGAGTCGTCGTCGTGCAGCGTCGAGCCGCCGCCCAATGAGCGGACGGGAACCGTCCGCATCATATATTTCTCGATCACCTGCATCCATCGATCGACACATTCGATTTGCATATTCATTTGTACGTCCCTTCCAGAGAGCCAGTGTGTGGTGTTCTTTCTGTGCTGCGGTGCGGTGTTGACTCTCCTTCCCACCGACCCACCGACCTGTTTGTCGATCATGAGTGAGGTGATGATTTCCTTGCGCGTCTTGGCGGACATGCTGTTGTCCAGGAGCCAGTCGCGGAGGATCTTCTGCAGGCTCTCGGCATCGACGGACTCGTCGTCGCCATCCGAGTACTTGATGTCGAAGTAGCCACGCTCTCTCACGCCCTCAACACGACCCTGCACACAACGCAACACAACAATGCACACAATCCACAGACACCCACGGACTGCGTGAACGCGTCGGGCGGACACCTCAAAGGCGCCCATCGCAAATTTCCGCTCGATTGCGGTCTTGTTGATGCAGATGCCCAGCAGGGGAATCCAGCCTTCCACCGCCTGCCACTTCTCGCCCCCACCGCCCAGCGCCCCACCGACTTCGGACGCTGCACACACACGGACGGACGCGGCACACGACGCGACGGTAAAGGAACGCATGCTGTATTGGTGAGTTGGCCGACCTTTTCTGTGGTCAGCCGCGGCGGCCACGGCGAGGCTCTTGTGCTGCAATGTGCTGCTCTTGTTCTGCCTTTGGCGCCGCTGCTTGTCGCCCTTGCGGCCAGACCCGTCACGCGACCGCACGTTCGTGTAGGCCCGGACCACTGAATGCACAATCGTCACAGAGAGAGAGGGAGGGGGGAAAGGAATGCATGTGTGGCGTTTGAATGAATGATATTCAGCAGGCCTCCTTATTACGTGCGCCGATGGTGTTTTGGGCGACGTCACGTTCGGTCTGGTCCCTATTAGCGTCGTAATCGCGGGCCAGATGAAGGCACTGCACCCTGCGTGCAGCGCACACACACACATACACACATACACACACGCACCGGCGCACGCGTATGCAAATAGCACGCGACGCGCACGAGAGAGACTCCTCCTCTGACTCACCACCCCACCCACCGACCCACCTGCAGTTGATGTGAAGTCCCTCTGGGTCTGCGCCTTTCTTGCGCTTCTTGCAGGCGCCGCACGGCTTGAGCGTCGAGAATGCGTCGTCACTGAGGTGGGCGCTCTTGAAGCCCCTGACACCCCGGCTGCCCCCCTGCACCAGCGGCTGCTTCATGTTGCGCGTGCAGCCCCCCTGCACACACAGACACAGACGCAGACAGGGAGACATATGTAGGCGGATGTCCCACAAACATTCATTCTCTGGTGCATCCATCTGTAGGTTGGGTGACGGACGGGGCGGTGGTCTGCGTTGTAGGCGGCCGAGTGGACGCGACGGAGCCGCCGGACTGAGAGGGGATGATTCTTGTTGCCACCCGACACGGCGTCAGCCACACGCCTGACCGACACAGTCATTCCACAGACAGACAGCCATGTCGACTCGGGTGTGTGTAGGCGAGTCAGTCAGTCAGTCGCTCACTCGCTAAGCGCCACGCAGTTGGGACAGAACCACTCTACGTCATCTGCAACAGACACCACAGGAAACATCAAATCTTGAGGCGAGTGTGGCTGTCGTCTGTGAGTCGTGCGCATGCCTCCCTCCCTCCCACCCTCCCTCCCTCCCTGTCTGTCTGTCTGTCTGCCAGCACAGGTACCTGGTGGCGTATCATTGGGCTGCAGTCCCAGGCAGTGCAGGTGGAAGGGAAAGGCGCACCCGTCACACACTATCGAGCCAGTGGCGCCCAGTGGCGGCCCTCCTGCGATTGAGATGTCATCCCTCATCTGGTCGGACGTGCCGATGGGGTGGGGGTCGGGCTGCTGACAGATGCCGCACAGGGTGTGCTCGGGCGACGTCTCGCCAAACGGGTCCTGGTCAATGGCGTCGGCGTCACTGGAGGCCGGGATGGCCGGGATGCCTGCAGTGCGTGGGTAAATAGGTGCACGTGTGGCTGTGTGTACGGATGCCGCATCGCTCACCCTGAGCTTCGGCGCGGAGGAGGCGTGCGGTCAGCAGCTCGTTGCGCAGCCCCCGCATGGCCAGCTCACGCACACGCTCGAACCACAGACGACCGAAGTCGGCGACGATCTCATCCTGACACACAGACAAACACACAGACAGACAGACAGACAGACGGAGAGGCACGAGCCGCGTGTATCTGTGTGCGCATGTATGTATGTATGTGTTGGCCATCCATTTCTCCACTCACCCCCGGGTATATGCGCACTCCGGGAATGGTACACAACACCACGTGGGGCCACCCGTCCTCGTATATCTGGTGCCAGCAGGCGTTGACGTGGAGGTTTTTGGGTCCGTTGGGGTTGGCGCACAGGTCGATCGCCTCATAGTGATTCACCAACGCTGAGCAGCAAAGACACACATCCACACAGGGAGGGAGGGAGAGTAAGCAAGCCGGCCCCATGCACACATTGCGATGCGATCGATGTGCGCGCATCTTGAACGACCGAACGGACTGACCCATTTCGTTGTGGAACCGTGACGCGTCCACGACCCACTCGTCATCGTGTGGCAGCACCAGCTCCTGCTTGCGGCCGCGTGGGCCCCCAACAGACCCATGGTCGCCGCGGACAGAAGCTACCCGTGACTTGTCGCTGCGGACAGCTCGAGGGTCGAACTCTGCATACGCGCGTGGGTGTTGCGAGGGGAGCACGTGACAGGACATGACATGAGATGATTGACGAATGGGCGGGGCGCGTGTGGTGGGTTGGTGGCGTACCGAGTCTGAATACGTAAGTGGTGTTCTCCTGCCCCGTTTCGTCCAACTGCGGTTTGCACACCACCCCTGTGTACTCGCCCAGTACCACGGGCAACTGCAGCCATCCATCCGCACAAGCCCGCCCCGCCCACACGGCACGGAGCCAGCCAGGCAGGCAGCCATACGTGAAGACCCACCGGCGCAGCCCATTCATTCATTCATTCTTTCTTTCATTCCTTGACTCACCCTATCGTCAATATGTTTGGTGTCGTTGAGGACGAGCGAGTAGCATTTCTCCGAGAGGGGTGTGGCGAACCTGACAGGGTGTCGGTGGTCTACAATCTCCACGACAGCCAGGCGGGGGTCGACCCCTCCTTCCAACACACAGTGCGTCGCCGAGTCCCACAGCGCCGCCTGATTCCGGCAGTGAATCGTGCCGGACACACCACCAAGACCTGCATATCATCGCACACAGGGCAGGGCAGGCTGTTCATGCAGCAGTTGTGCAGCTGTCTGTATGTCTGTCTGTCTGTGTCATGCATCTTCGATCTATCTATCTATCTCCCTCCCTCCCCACCGACAGCCGGACCGACCTGAGGAGAAGAGGTGGGGTTTGTTTCCTCCCTCCCTGCTGCCACTGCCGGCTCCGCGTGAGGCGGCCTGGATGGTGTGCTTGAGGGTATCCGAATCGGGCGTGAGCGCCTGCTTCAGGGCCGGCATCTTGTTGCGCTCCTTCAGCACCTCCTTGAACTGCACGAGGCGAAAGGCATTGGAGATCTCACACCGCGGGCTGCTCGATGAACAAGATGACGCCATTACCGCTATCTGCCTATCTATCTCGAGGAAAGATGACGCCAAGCTGCAGGTGAGCCTCGCCGCCGATCCACCTGCCGTTTGCCGTTTGAACTTAGAAAGAGATGAAGGCCTTCAAAGAGGTGAGTAGGTCACGGGAGAGCTCGAGCAGCTAGTTGCCGAGCAGGCAGTGCCTTTCCTTGGCCTCCTTCCCTTTCTGTACGTATGTATTGCAGCCTGCAGGTTTTGACGTCAACTCCACCCTCGTGATATCCGACTTCCCTTCAAGCGTCGATGAAACCGCCGTCTTCAACCTGGTAAGGACTCTGCGCGTGTTGTCACTCCCTCTTTCCCTCTCTCTCTCTCTCCCTGTCTGTCTGTCTGTCTGTCTTTGTGTGGTTGTCATGCAGCTCTGCTGGGTGGCCCCTGTGATTCGTGTGCAGCGCGTGGCCTCCCAGCAGGTCAAGAATGGCTTCTGCGTGGTCTTCTGCGACCCCCCAGCGGCCGAGAGGGTGGCCGCCCGCACCATTGTGTGGCCCGGCAGGAAGGGCGAGAGGAGACCCCTCACCGTGCAGCGCATTGAGCGGCGCCCGACTGGCCTGACACTCGTGACCGCGTCTGTCATGAACACCATTGATACGGTGAGTGTGTGGGTGCCGGAGTCGTGGCTGAAGCCACCACTGCAGTGTGTCGGTTTGGGATTGTTTTGTTGGGTGCACTGCAATCACTGGCTGGGTGGCTGGCTGCAGCTGTCTCATGAGGTGCAGAATCCCGACGTGGCGATTCGGACAGCAGGCCGCAGGATGTCCCAGCTTGCCTTATCTGGTAGGGTAGGTAGGGCATCATGCACCTACTGTACTCTTTCGTGTTGATTGGTGGGTGCACTCTGAGCGTTCATTCTTTGTCTCTGTCTGTCTGTGTGTCTGTCTGCCAGGCGCAACTGCGGTCTCCTTGATCGTGTCAGAAAGTACGCACATCTGCGTACGTAGTCGAGAAAGCGGCCCCCATGTATTTTTGTCACGCGTCTTCTTCAGGTGTGTCTGACGTGGCTGCCACGGTCGTACAGACAGGAGAGAGAATATTGTGTGTCTCCTCCTCCTCCTCTCTCGCGCTATGGATGGATGGCATGGCGTGCAGGTGCACAGGTGGGGCTCAAGCGAGGCTGTCGACGCTCACTCTCAGCAGGGCTCGTCGGGCCAGCAGCAGGGTGCTGGTGGTGGGGGTGTGTGATGCAAGAAGTGTTGGCTTGCTGCCGGTCTGTGTGGTGTGGTGTGGTGATGGACGGATGGACGCAAGGCGGAAGAGGCGGTTGATCGATGGGAAGATGACTTGGAAGCGTCGTGGCGTCACGGCTGCTTAGATGGTGGGATGTGGCACGCCCACCAGCCAGACGCAATTGCTATTGATTACATTGCGTGCTCGGTGACCCTCAATGGCCATCAGGCTGGGCATAGTTTCGTGGCGGGTGCATGAGTCGGCTGTGGCGTATACGCAATACTCGGCCAGCATCGCACGTGTCATATGATGTGTCTCTCCTCGACATGTGCCTCGCTGCGCTGCATTGATCTGTGGATGGATGGACGGATAGACTGCCGGATGGCATGTGTGCGTCCTCACATGAAGTGTCATCCATAGATGAGTAGAGAAGATGCACATGCCTGGGACCACCGATGCACTGACTGACTGACGATGTAAGTCGAGTAGATAAGCCCCTTATCTATCAACGGGCTCACTCACTCACGTTAGCTGCGTGGTAAGTTGGGTGGTGATTCATAAATACAATATTTATTTGACAGATGGCCACGCACACACACACACACACAGGTCCATCCATCCACAGCATCCATCCATCGCACCATGCAAGAAGGTACGAATGCACTTCCACACCACACCACCCCACACCACCCCAGGCCAGCCCACCCAGCCCATGGTATGGCCCTTCCTTGCTCGTTTCCTCTTCAGGCCCCTCCAAAACCACATACAAACACACGTACACACACACACGCACACACAGCCATCCAGGCAGGCAGGCAGGCAGGCAGGCACACGATGTGCCTTTCTGCGTACGTCATCGGCCGGCCGGCCCCGCTGCTGGTTGTGTTCTCACATATGAGTGTCACGATAGTCAGTTTGCAATGGGATTTGATCGGCCGGCTCCAAGAAACGAACGGATCACCTTCCCATTCTGCAGTGACGTGGCGCCAGTCGAGTCACACGAGTACTGTGATGGGATGACGACCGATTACCCCCTCGGAAGGATTTTTTTCTTTTTCTTCGTTACGAACTGGGAAAAAAAGGGCTCCTGAGGCTACCCTAGACCCAAACCCTAGACCTTAAACCTGGAACCCTGGTGTCGGCAAGTCGTACAGATTGGCGTGTGCGCGTGTGGAGGAGAAATTTTGTCCAGCGCTCAAAATTCATCGGTGTCGGGTGGTCCGATGCATTTTGCTGTTTGTTTGATTAGTTTTTTGTCTTTGTACAGAAGAAACAAAAATGCGCCGCTTTGCATATGCCCATGCCTCTCGTCCTACGCATCAAGGAAATCTCTTGCATCAACTACAAACCTGACAACGACCCGGTGTTCGCTGGCGGGATCATCGAATGGGTCACCTCTCATGTGATGTGTCTCACGTGTGTCTCTCTCCCGTCCCGTCATTCATGTCCGAAACACAAAGGCGTAGTGGCGACACGTCTCCTTCTCGTCCACGGACTGGTATCGCTCGTCCAGCGCACGGAGGCTAAACAAAAAGACAAACGGCGCTATGGTGTTGAAGACAAGTATCCCACTGCACAGCAGCGTCACCACACGCAGAACACGCACGCCCGGCTCGCTCTCCATCCTCAGCAGCGGCAGGTTGGCCACCCTCACGGCATACTACAACACACACACACACACACACACACACAAGCACATGGGCTCTTTGCGCTTCCCTTGGTGCCGTTCTTTGCTTACGATGAAGAGGAGCCACTCAAAAATGGCCTCGATCACAATGAGCACCGCGAGACTCGCCAGCCGCTCACACAGAGACGCGTAGCACGGCTGCAGGATCTGCTCCAGCGTGAGCATCAACACATTGACGAACACCAAAAAGCTCAGCTCGGTGAGGTTGAAAGCGTGCAGCCCGTCCGAGAGAGCTCTCAGGTATCTGGGGGTCGTGTCTCTGCACACATACGCCACTGAGAGGTCGAGCACTCGTCGGGTGTATGTGGTCATGGTCGACATGCTGCTGAGCGCACGTTGAAGGGTCGACTTTTGTCTCCCACCCCGGGCGGCAGCCGACTCCTTGGCGCAGCTGGTGACACTGCGGGAGAGGATTGAGGGGCTTCGGGTGTTGTCGATGTTGCTGCTGCTGCCGGCGCGGGAGGGGGACACCTGGCCCGAATCTTGCGCTTCAAAGTCATGACGCTGGTGTTGGCTGCGCTGATGCATTTGTCCTTTATGTGGCGCCACAAAGTGGTCTTGATGATGTCACCTGGGCGCAAAGAGAGAACAGCAACATCCGTCCGTTCGTATGTCTCGTGCGTGAGCGTCGAAAAGGAATACGGCACCCAACCGTAAGGCAGAAACAGGTCGGTGAGGAAGTCGAATGTGGCGAAAATCAAAGAGTTGACCACCTTTGCCTCTACCGACTCCATACGGGCCTGGATCAACCGGGGCACGCTGATGTACAGCATTGCTGAGGTGAAGATCAATGGAGCTGTCCTTGTTGGGGGCCCGTGAGCGATAAACCGGGCTGTGCCGGTTGCTATGCCTGCAGGACAGGCAGAGACACGAACTGTCCTTGCGTGTGGACGGATGAATCTTTCTTTCAATTGATTTCGTGTTGACCTATGAGCGGCCTGCCGACAATGAGCGCAATGAATGCAATCTTGGTGCGGCGAGCGTCCGACTGCGCCTTCGTTGCTAATGGCAGGAACAGCGTCAACCATATGGTCATGGTGATGAGCGGCATGAACCACGTCAAGGTCGCCTGCAGGGCGTATATCCTCTTCTCTCTGACGGAGCTCATGTTCATGTCATCGGCCGCCTGACGATAGAACAGGTAAGGGGTCACCGCACCTGCAGGCACAGTGACACCGACACAGGAAACACGGACCCTTCAGAAGGAGACACGGAGAGAAGGCATACCGATGCAGATGTAGAGGGCTGGACCGAGGAAGGCGTTTTGGACAATCGACGACAGATGAACATGGTGGGAAACGGACGTCAGGAGGGTGAAGACCAGCAGAGGAAACACGACGGGGCACGACTTTCGCAACCGTCTCCGGCACCTGTAGAGGCAATCGCCCCCAACGCCTTCGACCATGAGGGTGCAAATGAGCCAGAAAATGCCCCAATCAGTGCTCTCCTGGCGACGTCGAGGATGATCCAAGGCACATCGACGCTCGTGTCCTCACAGGAAAGCCAGTAGAGCGTATATAGCACCACCCACACGGCAGCGATGCCGGTCCCAGCAGCCACTTGATGGCAAATGACGTGGAGAGAGCGCCACATAGTGCGGCTGACCGGCTCTGGGTGGAACTCGGCGCCAACCAGCACATCGACCATGAGACCATCAGGGCCCTCGGCCTCCTCGTATCGCATTCGTGTCTCAAACTCTTGGTACCTGCACACAACACAAATGCATGTGCAAATGTCTTGAACACCCATAGCCCGAAGTCAATGCTCACGCGGCATTGTATCCTGCGGCGTCGTGGAACTCTCTCTCCACAGCGGCAATGGCCAGCTCCTGCTCCCTCTCGCCCCTCGGAAGGCCCGCTTCCTCCATCATGACCCCATCTCGGCTCCTCCCGCGCCGCTCGCTGGGCGGCTCCCGGTCGATGAAAACACTGAAGAACCGCTGCACTCTCTCACGGAAGGTGCGCCGCGTCGGCATCAGCTGCCAGTCACCCCTCTCCCTCGGCAATGCGGGCAAGTTGCAGTCGCCTGGGTGTTCCGCTGGCCCCCCGACCTTCCCCCGATCATGCTCTGGCTGTTCCGTGAGCGTGACGTCGACTTCGTTGTCAGACCAGACAGACTCAGCAGACCAGTGGTCAGATGACTCGATGACAGGGGAGCTGTCGCCTTCAATTTGATTCAGCCGCACGGTCACGATGGGACTTATCGTGGGAAACGTCCGGGCAACGTCGTTACTCTCGGTCTCGGGCTCCGTCATCTTCATTGACGCGGCGGAAGATGGCTCATTCGAGCCGCCGGCGGAGGGCTGCCAGTGTGCTGCTGGGGTGGTTGCTGGGGCCAGCAGGGTCGTCTTGGTTTGTGTTCTCCATTCTGAATCAGCGCAATGGCGATCGTCGTCGAGAGGCCTGTCGGGTTTTTACGAGGGAGGCGGGATACCTTTTGTGGACTCAAAAAAGACTTGGCCGCCAGGCCGCCTAGGACATCATGATTACGTGAAACTGCTCGAAAAAAGTCTCCAGTACAAGCGCCGCATCACCCGACGAAAGACTGGCTGTGTGTGGTGCAACTGGTGTCCCAGTGCAGTTTTCCGCTGCTGCTCGCCTGGTTTGACCCGGAGACGTGTGCGGCAGCGTCGTCCTGTGAGAAAGCGCTCACAGGGCGCAGCCGCTCAAGATGTGAAGAGAGAAGCAGCGATTCAGGCACCGAGCAAAGTGAGCCATAGAAAGGCGCCGTCCCATGATGGGCGTGAGCAAGACATAGCTGACAGTGAATGAGCGTCATTCAGCTGACAATGAGCAAGACATAGCTATAGTCGCCGATTGACGTGCTGCACCCCTTTACTCGCTCAGATGGCGGTGCCGAGCGTCATGCAGAGGTATACGTTGACGACCATCACGCTGCTGAGGGTGCGGCTGACGACCAGCCGATGATGGGCGAAGGACCATGCACGTCCCGCACACGTGCAGTCAGCCATGTCTCGTACACGTACGTGCATCGATCAAGTTCCGCATTCCTGTATGTACGTGTGGATTGGCCACCACGCGTTCCGGTGGGACTGCTGCTGTCGAGGTGCCACGGATAGAAGATAGATAGCGGGTGGCTGGACCGATTGATCCACTCAGTTACCTTTACGATCTCTACTCCTTCTAGTCGGCTGAGGCTCGGCTCTGCTATTGTCTGCGATACCCACCCAATTTCCCACATACCCACCCAGACACCCACCGACCCACCCTCACGTGTGTGCATGAGTGTGCGAATTATATATGAATTGCATAATCAGGGTTAGATAACCACACAACGGCCACGTACATACACATACGCATACACACACACACATACACGTACGTACACGCACATACCCACACAGACAACCACCGATAAATGCCCCATCCAATGTGACCGTCGGGGCCAATTAGCCCCTCGCTCCCTCTCACACACCGAAATACAGCACATATGTGCACGAACAAGAGAGAGAAAAGGGGGGGGGGGCCGAAAGCCGCCCGCATTGTATAAGACACATTGCACATTCAGAAACAACACCATATACACACACGCACACACACAAAGGCACAAATACATACACCCTCGCGAAACGACGGGGAATGAATATGAAGTATGTATGTATGTACGTGTGTGTGTGTGTGTGTGTGCTGGACAAAGACGACAGACACAATGAAATCATTCGCAGGCACCAGGCTCTCCACGGTAGGAACGTCGATTGCTGATGACCGCCAGAAGACACGGTGGTTCGTCTGGATGTATGGATGGAACATGTAGTCAGCACCACATAGGAAAAAGCTGCACATAAGTAGCCCCAAAAAGAGACATGACATCATCGGTGCATATGTGGGCGGCAAGCGCATCATCCAGTGAGTGTACACCGTGCCCCTAGATGCGTATGTGCATGAACTGTGTGTGAAAAAAGGCCCTCCAGCTACCCCTCTAAATGGAGCTACACACACTCTGCAAAGACACACACACACACAACAGACAGACACAGTCGCCTGCCCGCCTGTGTGTGGTCTTTCATGTTCTGACCGAGATAGAAGATCGTCTTGGTGTTGAGGAGTGTCTGCGAGCCGAAGCTATCCTCCACACCGAGGGCCGACTTCATGTCCACGTCAGCAGTGCCGGCATCGCCCCGACACGTCAGCAGCAGCACCTGCTCATCAGCCACAGACCCACCCACACCCCCCACGGCTGGGGCCATCCGTCGCCTATGCGAATTGGCCGGAAGCGCCGCCCACTCGCCGGGCTGCCGAATCATGGCCAGCAGCGACCGGCGCCCAGACGGCGGGCTGGGCTCATCCGATGGCACAAACACTGATGAGAACGATAAGTACCCAGGCCTGCACACATGTGGCAAACGGCAACACACAACACAACACAACACAACAGAACACGTGGCATTGGTGTCATGAATGCGTCAATGTGTGTTGTTCATTGTGGCTGGTCCATCCATGCCTGTATGGAGGTGCGGTCCGGACGGTCTCGTTTTGCATGGTGGTGCTGCTGTTAGCCCCGCTGCCCAGTGAGGCGAGGGAGAGCTCAAAGCCGGTGGGAAGGGCAGGCGTGATGGCCTCAGGGTGGAGCACATATCTCAGGGGGGGCTCGCCGTCAGCTATGGTGAAGAGGGAGCTCAGATGCACGCCAGACGGGGCGCCCGCCTGGACGCCACGCAGCGTCACCGAGCCACCGTCGGCCTCGTATCGATGTGTGACTGACAACACGGTCAGAACACGCACAGAAATCATGGCAGGAACAGTGGATGGAGTTGACATATATGTGTGCCTACTCACTTGATGGGAAGGAGACCTCGGTGCCTTCAGCCCTGCCGTAGCTCTTCATCTTGCCCCCTGGGTGTTGGCACTCGAGCGAGCCGCTCACCAGGTCATCGTTTTCACGGACCGGCTCCTTGTCAGCTGCACGAACACACGGCGCATACATGTGCTGTATGCGGTGTCATCTCATCCGCCCACCCACCCACCCACCCAGATACGTACATTTGAGGAAGCACATTTTGCTTTCCGGCATGTACGAGAAGAACCTGCACGGGGGCATCTCTTCGCACGCCCTGGCGCACATGTTGACGTCCTTGATGTTCGCCAGCCTCCCCAAGTTCGGGCGGTTGTCCCCCAGCGCCACGCCGTACTCCTTCCCCCTCTCAACGCACTCACCGCTGACCTGCTGTTGCTGCTCTTCTGCCCGGGGCTTTCGTCTCTCCTGCTCCTTCTGCTGTCGCCGAGTCTGTCCATGTGGCGCTGCAGGCGCCTTGCAGTACTTTCGACCGGAGACCAAATCGGGGTTGTTGACTGGCGTGCCCACTTCCGATTTGAAATAACACGTCTGGCGTACGGAGAGGTAAGAGAAAGCCTCGCAGGCCGGCATCCACTGGCATAGCTTCTGGCACTCCTTGGGCGACCGCACTCCCTCCTTTAAGCCGATGTGGCTGGCTGGGCGGCTCGTCTTGTAACCTTTGCCGATGTCGAAACAAGCACGCGCCAGAGGGTCTTGTTCCTTTCCACCATCCGGGTCCTGCTTGTCGGCTGCTGCAGCTGCTGGTGCTGATGGATTGTGCGTCCTGTTGGCGGCGTGCTGCTGCTGTCCTTGCCTCTGCACAAACGATATAAACAACCAGACCAGCGCCACGAGCAAGTCATCCCGCACAGGTGGTCAACGTTCCCGCTCTCTGCTCACCTGTCCCCCATTCTTCCCGCCCTCCTGCCTCCTGTCGTCCTTGCCCGTCACGGCTTGATTCTCCTGCTCCCGCTGTGCTTCCGCACCCGCACCGGCTGTCGAGTTGAGGCTTTCTGTGTGCTTGCTGTCGTCATCGTCACGGAGAGGCCGCACAGGCGCCGGTGCATCGTCATAATCGAAGTCCTCAAGCACCATGTAGTCCTCCATGATGTCGTCCTCCCGTGTGGCCACAGCCGCGGGGGGAGGGGTGGTGGCCTCGCCACTGCCTTCCTCATCCCCGGCTGCACCACCTGCAGGCGGAGTGGTGGCACCCGCGTCTGCCGGCTGGTCGATGCGGATGAGCAGACCCGCGTCGCTGCTGGATGGGGGGCCGGTGGTCATATGAGAGGGTGCCTTGGGGGACCCCTCCCAGCATGACCTGCGGCCGGACACCCACTTGGCGTCTTGTCTGGACGGTGCGAGACTCGTCTTGAGGTCACACACGCCGTCCGCCATAGAGAGGGAGAATGCCGCGCATCGAGTGTCCTGCTGGCATAGCAACTGGCAGACGTTGACGGCTTGCTTGGTGCTCATGGATGAGGGTGTGAGGGGCACCCTGGTCACCAGCATGCCGACGCCAAGCTCAACGCCCTCATGCACACACGCGGGAAACTCCTCTGCCTCTGCTGCCTCTTGGTCTCGGTCTTGGTCGTCATTGTCGACGTCCATGAAGTAGAAGGTATCTTGCTCTTGCACATCTGGCGGTGCAGGAGTCTCTGCTGCCGGCTCTTGTGCCGCATGCTGCTGTCGTTGTTGATGTGTGACGACAGGCTTGAAGACCTCGTGGGTGCCGGGGGGTGGCGCGGGGCCGCTGACGTCCACATCCTCCGTCATGGCGGGTGGGGGCGTGGTCATCTCGTTCTGGGCTATGTGTTCATCGATGGCTGCTGGTGGGGGGGTGGAGGCTGACACGTCATCGAACATGCCCGACGCCACCTGGTCTGCACACAGGCAGAGAGGAGGGAGGGAGGGTGCATGGATGGATGGATGGATGGACATGTCTGTTCAGGTATGGCTGACTGACTGACCTTGGCTGGCGGCCTGGCCGAAACCGACGTAAGGTACGAATTCCTCTCTGAAGGGTACATACTGCGGCTGGTCCTCCTGTCGTGTGCCTTGCTCGCCGGGCTCCTGCCGCTGGGCCTCGGTCGTCGCTTGACCTGCGGAGGGACACACAGACGCGCACATGTAAGCGCTCTCTCTCTTGCTATGTGTGCGTGTGTCTGTAAGTGATGTCCATGCGGTGACCGTCTGAGTCTGCGTCATCGAATCCGACATAGGGGACAAACTCCTCACTGAAAGCCACGTACTGGGGCTGCGTCTGGGCTTGGGCTCGGGCTTGTGCCGTCACGTTGGTGTCTTGATCCGTCTCATCAGTGGCGAGCGAGCTGCCATGAGACTGGGCGTCGATGAAGTACACGTACTCGAGCTCCTCGGTGCTTTCACTGTTCGCCGCATCTAGAAAGATGGATGCACACGCAGACACGCAGAGATGCAGGCAGGGTGCACACGCGCATGCGCGAGCAGCTTTATTGGCTTAAACGACACAGGTCCAGAGATGTAGCTACCTAGGTTACCTGTGTCGTTTGTGTCCTCCTTGGCCAAAACAGAGAGGTCCCGTGGGATACCCGCATTGGGGAGGGGCAGAGTCGGCTCCTTCACACTCGCACCACGGGGCGCCTCCACCGACTGCAGACACACACGTCACCCACCCCACCCATGCACACGTACATACGCACATCTCACGTACAATACAGGCCCCACTCATTTCGGTGCCTGGCTGACTGACTGACCAGCACAGATGTGGTGAAAAAGTTGGCGCAGCTGTAAGGCGTCTGGTCGTCAGGGTCGATCTGTACCCAGTTGGCGCCCCCGTCCATCATGTTGGGCTGGCTGGACCCAACCATCGCGCAGTTCGGCTGTCGCGGATCAGCCGTGGCATTGCTACTCTCGTCATTGTCGCCACCACCATTGCCACTGCCCCCATCTCGTGTTGCCGTGGCGGGCACGGATCGCTGGTTCATGTAGGCGTTCCTGGCGATGGTGGTGCGCTCGATGGACAGACTGGCCACGCCGGACGGACGGACAAACAGCCCCCCTCCCCCACCTGTGTGTATGGATACATACATACAACCATCGCACATGGGCGGGCAAACAGGGAGGGAGGGATGGATCATGTGTTGGGGGAAGGATGGCTGTATGTGGCTGACTGACCGTATCTGCCTGAAGCCGTGTTTTTGCTGATGGTGGATGCGGCGACTTTGAGGGCGCTGCGTGGGGAGGTGACGGCGATGGCGCCCCCGTTGCCCTTGGCGATGTTGTGCTGCAGGTACGAGTGGGAGACGGTCAAGGGCCGCTCGGTAGTGCCACACGATGACGACACCGCCAAGGCGCCACCGGTCGATGCAGGATCCAAAACACTGCAACACAGAGGAGAGGAGACGGTTGTTGGCTGATTGGGGTGACTGGTGCGTCATCGGGTGTGTTCGTGTCTTTTCGTTTGTGCATGGCGGGCGTGCCTGTTGTGCGTCAGTGTCATCTCGTCAAGGTCAACGGCAGCGTTGCAAAGCACACCGCCACCTGCACACCACAGCACACCGTCCATCGACCGACCCAACGAACCAATGGATGGATGAATGAGTGAATGAATGTACAGGCCAGTGTAGTGTCGATCGTCCACCCATAGACCCACCTGCTTCCACAGCCGTATTGCCCTCCACACTCGTCCCCTTGAGAATCGACCCGTCACTGCCAGCCGCAAAGTGAAGAGCTCCACCACGCTCCGCAGAATTGCGCAGAAACGCTGAAGTGACAGACATTTATTCACACCGTACGTACACAAAGGTGCCGAGAGAGAGGGGCACGCAGTGGTGTGTACCCGAGTTGTTGATGGTCACTGGCCGTTGTGTGTGCATGCCTCCGCCGGATGAGTCGTTGCCCGCACTGTTGGCCACCACCAGCGACTGGTCAATGGACAAGAGAGGTTCCTCGGCCTCATTCGCCATGTCGCTCGCGTAGATGCCCCCACCACTTCCTGCAACGCCACACCACACCACACACAGTAGGTTGAAAGGTGATGGACAGGTGTGCACGATTGCGTGGCGCGGCGCACGTGTTGCCTGATTGTCGCGGAGGACGGTCTTGAAGAGGGTGACGCTCGCCGCACCGCTGGCCACGAAGATGCCCCCACCATTGGACGCAACGTTCCCGTGCACATCCGAGTGCCGCATCCGCAGGTCGCAGCTGCTCCACACGGCCCCTCCATGGCCCGCGTGGGAGTACCCGGACACCTCGACGGCGTCCAATCTCATGAGCGTCTTGCCCCCCTCAGGCTGCACACACGAGATGCCCCGGGACAACCGCCCCTTGTTGATGAGCTTGACGTCGCGAAGGCTCAGGTGCTGGCGGTGGCTCTCAATCGTGCTGGGCGGACCCGGTGCGTTCGCTGCCCTTCCCTCGCGTGTGGCAGTGCTGGTGTCGACCACCGAGAAGCCCTCGAGCTTTGAAGTCCTGTCCAAATCCGCAGCATCAGCACCGCCATCGCCGTTTCGAAAGACGAAAAGGGCTGCGGTGTCTGTAACAAGGTACAGACTCTCCGATCCAGGGCCGATGATAGTGAGCGCATCTGTGACGACAGGGAGGCCGCCATTCAGGACGAGCACCGTGCTGTCGTTGGTCGGCGGGGAGAACAGGGGGCTGGTGGTCGTGGTGGTGTCGTTTGGCGTGGTGGCGACCAGGCGGATGACGTCGTGCCCCTGTCTGCTGTTGGCGATTTCGACGGCCTCGCGCAGCGAGGCGCCCTCTTGCCCCTCGCCCGTCCTCACCACTATGGGCGCATTGTGCCGCTTCGCCACCTGCGCCAACGACACTCCACACCATGAGGCGCCCAGCAGCACGAGCAGGAGCAGTGAACACAGCGAACGAGCAGTCAAGGGAGGGAAGCCCGTTATCGTCATTGAGAAAGCGGATACCGACAGGTGGTGCTGGTGGTGCCTGTGCCTCTCTCTGCTGTTCCCAGGCCGCTTGCTCCTTATATCATTTGCTCAGAGGGCAGGCAGGTCAACTTATTTGCTACTGTAACGGCCGAAGAAAAAATAAAAGTCACGCGCACACCGCAGAGATGGACTCTCACCTGGCTCATCTTGTCGCGCAGCGTCTTGTCGCCTGGTGGAATGTGCTCCACCCCGACTCCCCGCCCATGACGGTCAAACGCCGCCCAGGAACTGACCGGCGTCATTGCACAGCTGAGTAACTCGCTCAGCGTTGCCTCAGAACAGGGAGAGAGCAGGAGCTGCTTCAACTACTTCATTCCAGTCCTTGCCGAGCTGCTCAAAAGGCGCCCACACAAGGCCCTTCACCTTCTCTGGGGGAATAAAGCCGTCGTCAACTACGGCTTTGTGGTGCGCGACGCCAATGACACTACCCTGTGGCCGCCGCAGTCAGCGTGGCTGCTTGTTTCTGTCCATTCCGCAGGCTTGTGACGTCCCCCTTCGGATCACCGACGAGCTTCGGGAAATTCTCTCGGCCGGTCTCGAGACTGCCGAGATGATGTACGCCGGCACGTCCCACAACAGCCAATACGGGGCGGGTCCGCCACCCGAGATCCGGTACGAGCCGGAATTAATCCCTCACACCCTCTCTGCTCTCTGTCGACCTGTGTTTTGAATGTGTGTAGCATGACTGATTATTTGGCTGAGGCCATTGAGTTCGCCAACGACGTGCTGCGCACCGAGATCACCCTGGCGACCAAGTGGAGGGACGCACGGCCGCTTGCCTGGCTGCTGTCCGCCATCGAGTTCCATATCGACGACGTCCACGATACCGACCTCGACGGACGCACCGAGGCGTGCCTCCGCGAGCGAGAGATGATACAGGACATTCCACAAGACCAACGAGCTTCGGGAAATCCTCTCGACCAGTCAATAGTCCTGTCTTCATACCCGATCACATGTATGGAAAGAGATCGAGAACATGACCAATGGGCTGGATGCAAACGTCTGCTGTGCAGGTTTCCAAACGTGTGTGCCTTTGTCGCATTTTGGGCCGGCAGGGATCTGGGGTTGAGAGCAATCGATCGGTCTTTCTACAAATACGTGCAGTATTTCGAGCCGCAGGTGGGAGCGCCGGCGAATCTGCACCAGGTTGTGTATACGTTCTGCCGCAGGTGCTCTTATAACCATGTGCAAAAGGGGATGGTCAGTGATGGATGTGTGTCTCTGTTCGGTGTGTCCATTGCAGATTGGTCTTCCCGGCCGAACCGCATGCATTCGGACCCTCCAGAGACCCACCAGCTGTGCAGGAGACCAAGGTACGCTCACTCGTACGTGAGTTCCTGAATCCCTTCCGATTCGATCCCCGCACGTGAGTCGTAATATTTTATCTCGGTCGGCCACAGATGTGAATGTCTGTATGCGTGCAGGGGAGTGTCACAGGTCCATGTGGGCTACTACCCGATTGGATGAGGGTGAGCGGCAGTGCAGTATCTGAATCCAACGGTGTAGTTTCTGTAGAGTGTACGTAATGCTCACATGCAGTGTCGCTCTTCTTTTGCGACGGGCCGTGTGTGTGAGAAGGTTGTCGCTTGTCAGTAGAAAAACCCAAACAGGCCAACAGTAGAAAAACCGAAACCGAAAACCGAACAGGCTGGCAGAACCGTTTCGGTTCCGTCCCTCTATTTCGTTATTTCTTCCGACTAGCCGAGGAGGCGCAACCGGGAGGGCGTGCCGACTCAACACGGATGGACACTTCCTCCCTCTCACCTCCTCGACTGTTCTGTCGGACCGGGGCCTTTTGATTCAAGACTTCTGTGGTGTGTCGGCACTGGACTGTCTCGGCTGCATCTACCTGTCGGCAGCTGATCTGCCGTCACTGTTCTGTGCGACTGGGCTGTCGCTGAGCTGGGATATGGGAGCAGCAGCAAGATGTATACCACGCATTCCAGCCCGTGAGCCACCCAAAGGGAGGCTGTAGCGTAGACAAAAGGACTGCCTAATGACCACAGACTATCGTGGCCTTAACAAGTCGTGCGACCAATAAGGAGAACGAGAGGCATCATTCACAATGTCCACATACACTGTACCTACCACGTCCACACACACATCCATGCACGAACACATACACACATGCACAGCTTGACGGGGCCTCAGGGGTCGTGCGAGGGAAGACAGTCAAGGGGCGAGGCCGAAGGACGACAGGCGTGCGGATCCACACATGTCGGATGGATGCGCCAGGCGGGTTGGTCGGTCGGCCCGATATCGACCAAAGGCCGGGGAGGCTGGGCTGCAAAGCCGCCGTCATCTGTCGGGGTGGTAGTGTGAGAGCGTTGCCGTCAGTCCGTGGCTAGCCCAGGGGAAGCGGGGCTGATACGGGTGAGTGAGACGGACCCTCATATGCTCGGGACGGATGGCCAGGCAGGTCGGTTGCCGGTGGCTTGAATGAGAGCCTTGCCGGTAGGCCGATAGCCTGGGAGGCGGCGCCGCAGGTGCCGCCGACGTCCGTTGAGCGGTGCTGAGAGGAACGTGGCCGTCTGTCTTCAGCTGGCGTGCCTGCCGACTGGGTGACCCGATACATACACAGACAGACAGACAGGCGGGGGCGAGATCAGGTAGCTAGGGCCAGGGAATGCCTCAGACAGGACAGACAGATAGTCAGGACGTATGCAAGACAGGGAGGGTTGGTCTGTGGCAGGCATGTGACCCTTCTCTCTCTGCGAGGACGGATCCGTTGAGCATACCTTCCACGTCGAATTGGACGAAGACTCGACCGCTGATCCATCCACAATATCATCAATTCACCGCCAAGACCACTCACCCATAGCCATCTGGACAGCTATCATTCTCCACGTGACGTGGTGTGTAGTGTGGAATGCACATCCCGAATGAGGAGGAGGACGCACAGCATAGCTAGCAGCGGACTCGTCCCTGTGACGTGACGGATGGACACTCAATGGGGAGTGGGTCGGAAGGAGAGGCCTTGGGCAGTGGTTGAAGGGACGATCCCGAGCGAACGGATATGGTGCCGCCATCTGAAGAGGACAGCACACCGACAAAGGACAGGGAGGGACAGACAGTGAAGGGGATGAGTGAGGCGAGTGCGCCGCGAGGCGGGCAGGGCCAGTCGAGCGAGAGCGCTTGCCGATTGTGCGTGTGGGAAGAGCGATACGTGTACGTACCTCTGGCGAGGCTGCGATAGCCCGAGGAGGCGTGTGTCATCTTCTCGACCCAACACGGCGACTCGTGACGCACATCTGACGGACAGAAGGGATAGAACTATCAGATCGGCGAAAAATTTGGGGTGGAAATCGGGCCTCCCTGACCTATTTACCCATGTGCACATTCGGTCGCGCGGTGACACTTGTCTCTTTGCGCAAGTCCATCCAGAGTCGCATCCAGACAAGGAGAGTGGCAGGAGATCAGGCGAAAGACGCTTACGAAGTTGTGGTGCAAGTCTGTCTCGCACATGCGCTTGCTCTATGTGCAATGTTCGCATCGCTTGAACGCTTGTATCTTTGCTTGAGACTCAGGAGGAACTTCGTCGCCCTTTCGTGTCTTCACTCAATAAAATCCTGCACAATCCAAGACAAACACAGACGCGACAAAGGTGCACGGATGAGCCGAAAGAAAGATGGAGGATTCAGGACGAATGGGTCTGTCTCCCACCGTCCACCTCCCTTTGTTTCACGGAGATGCAGAGATGCCGTTTTTCCGAAGCACCAAAGTGGCATGTGGAGAACAGGAGGAGAGCTCCTTCTGTGTTCATTCGAACGAGCATTTTATGCTTGAATTTCGGGTCGCTGCTTGATTGCTTGGGGCGGCAGATCCCGCACCTTGTGTGCTTCCCACCTCAGATGCGCAAGAAGAACGGATTCCACGGAAGAAGACAGCTGTCCGTCAAAATGTGGTAACAAACCCTCAACCCCACAGCGGGATAGTGACCAGGGTTCAACTTACGAACCGCTGCACGTGCGACAGCACTTCCCCGTCGGTAACTGGTGCGCTGGGCCGCCAGCAGATTCTGCACAATGGCGGCCAATGCGCACCATCGCGAGAGAGTCAGAGGGTTTAATTGAAGTATGGATCACATGATGGATCAGGACAAGGAAATAAAGCGAAAGGGGACATATGTGCTGCATCTGTTCAGCCGCATTCGGACCTACAGTCTCTGCCCAGTGTGCACGATCCGCGATAATGGCTATTTGGCAGGCAGGATGATGCCCCCGGGGCAACGGCCGGACGGGCCTCTGGTGCAACTCCAGGAACAGGGACAAGAGGACCTGCACATTCGAGTTGGATGAGTACCGGTAGGTTCACCCTGTACTGAGCGAAGGTAAAATCAATTCGTTTAAAACCGATGGTTTTTATTCTTTACGAGTAAGAGTTCTCTTTGCTCTCAGTAATGAGTCACACATCAATTACTTGGGTCGCGACAGAAGGGTCGTTGCCGACAGAGGACGCTTAGTTGTTGACAGAGTCGGATTGCAAGAGAAGCAATTCTTCTACAAGAGATGCAATTCTCACCGATTTTTACAACCGACAGATTTAGGACAGAGACGTTAATCAGCAAAGCCGGAGGGCAACTTTGCTGAGGGGCTGTTGCTAGAGCGGGGGCCTTTCCACCCTCGTTGATTGCAGGGGGTGGGTGGGTGGGCGTGCCTGGGTAGGTAGCGAAGGCTTTGATCGTTGCTGTCAATAGTTTAGATGCGAACATGTAATCGACCGTCCCAGCGCATGGACACACGGACAATCTTACCCTAACCACCATAGTTTGCTGTAGGCCGTCTTCTCCTTGGCCAGAGTTTCTACCCCACTTTCGCCAATGCCCACCTTCACAACAACTGGCAGCAAGACCTTCCCATCTAGATGCGCTCGCCCATGAACAAACAGAACAAGTGGGACACGTGCGTTTTATCCATCGAGCAATGCATCACTCTCATCATCTCTCACTCACCAGAAGAAGTCTTGAGCTTGTCCTTGGGGAAGCCAAAGGGTGTCTCGAGGTGCTCTATATACACACAAAACAAATGATGCAATAGAGACATGCACTCGCTCAAAAACACAAACCGAGAGACATGTCGGCAAACACAACAAGCCCTGCGGTGCCGCTGGCTGAATGCCTGAGACGCCACATGCAGGTTGAGATGCAGTGCCATCTCAACACCGGATCATGTCATGATTGTCATCTTCTACCTGATCTGATATTTCTCTCCAGCGGCGGCCTCGAACTCGCAGTTCTCGTCAAGATACTCGAGTGCGGACCTGTGCTCGTTCCAAAAGTCGTAGACGTCGAGAACCTGAACGTACATACACAGGCGACCCTTCTGCGTACTCGATTGTTCTTTCGTTCGTTGTTGTGCTCACTCTCTTCTGAGGGATGACGTCTTTCAGCACATGGCAGTAGACGAATGTCGGCCGACACACCCTCTTGATGGCCTCAACATCCTCCGGGGGGGCCCAAATGAGCGTCATTTTCTCATCTGAGTGGCTCAGACCCGCCATTCGCACTGCAAAAGAAGAGGAATGGGCCACTTGCGGGATCAGCACCTCGGCTGCCGAGAGCCCCACCACCAGGGCCAGCAGCACCATCGTCCCAATGCGGCAAGAGGTCCACATTGTGATGTGGTGTATGGCGCCAGCTGGGGGCTTCCCCCAGTCTCCATCCTGGCCGATTCCGGAATGGCACGGAACCGGAAGGGAAGTCGAATTAAAGACGCCTACGCAGGACCGAATGTGCGTAGCGTCGATGACAAGACATGGACAGGAAGAACCGCATTTCACGGATCTACAGGATAGTGCTCTCTAGGCCACGACACCCGATGGCAAATGACTAGCACGATTTCCCTGAGATGCACCTCCCCTGCAGGCGCACACGCGATGCCATGAGGTAGACGAACACTTCATATGCACGCCATGCCATGAGGTGTGCTGATCTACCTGTCTTCAGCGTGTAACGGTGTTCACCACATCTAGGGAGCCCGTGCTCACTCGTGAAGGTCGGCAGCACACACACGGTGCGTACCTACCACCTGGCTATCCTGGATCTTTGTCCAGTCGCTGCGACTGCGGGCGCCCCTGATCAACATGCATCATGCAGGTCAACCAACAATGAGGACGGCTTCACCACGCCAGGTAGGTGTGTTCATATACCACACCTCACACGCCCCTCTTAATTAATCCAGCCTGCCTGCCTGCCTCCATCTATCCATTGCTGCCCTCCCGCTTGTGTAATTAATGCGGCTGGCTACAGGCCAGTCGTGAACAACACGCAGCCACAGCCAACCAGTCCCCTGACCCCGCAGCGGCAGCTCCCAGCGGCTCAGATGCAAACAAGGCATGCATCTTTCAACAACACGGACAACCAGCGAGAAGCGAGTTGCGCCGCACCAACGGCGGGCGAGAGAGGCAAGTTTACGTGGGCAGGAGGGCGAGGAGGATGGCATGGCTGGTGATGGGTCCCCCATGGGCCCGGCCGACGGGCATCGACGGACGAGGGCCGCTGGGGCGGCAGGGGCGCCGTCGTCAGTCACCGAATTTCTCGAGTATATAAGACACATACATAGACGGGCAGTGGGAGCCACGAGTGCACTCGTGTCCTGTATGTATTTGTGTGTATGTCTGTGGTTGCGTCAGTGTCTGACGAGCACGAGCACGAGCACGATGGTGAGGACGGCAAGATGGCGGATGGGGATATGGAAAAGGACGGTAGGCAGGCACCAGGAAGCACCCGATGCATGCCGCTGGTTTTTCCCATACGTACGTGTTGTGTGTGTATGTCAGACGTGGCTATAGAGGCATCACTGGCTGCTGCTGCTGCTGCTGTTACTGCTGGTCGACATTAATGACGAGTCGGCCACTGCGCAGCTGAACAGTGTGGAGGAGGACTGCCATCGGTCCTTCATGGCCAAATACCGCCAGCGCATCCATCGGCCAGGAGCTCGCAAAATGGTGTCAGTCACATTCAAGCAGAAGAGACAGCGCAAGGAGGCCGTCGACGTGACCGTTCCCCTTCCACCCGATGAGATCCAACTGACTGACCATCACGAGGAAGCCCTCCTCTTCGTGGCAATGGCAGCACATGACCAGGAGGCTCAGAAACCGCCACTTGCCGGTTCCTCTGGCACATGCGGTGGGTCGATCGGCGTATGAGAGTGGCCCTGTAGCAGCGGGCCGGGGAGGGGGAGGCGGGCGTGAGAGAGAGGAGCAAGACAGCATGGCTGGTGGTGGGCCCCCCATCGCCCGACGGGCATTGCCGACGGCCGCTGCGGCTGCGGCAGGGGCACTGCACCGTCGTCACCAAACCTACCGAGTAAAGCACATGGGCGAGTACATACCAGGCGTCAGTCACGAGCATTTATGTATTTGTGTGTATGTCTTGTTGGGATTGCGTCAGTGACCTCTGACAAGCATGAGGATGGCGTCGGTGGAGAGGAGGGTATGCAGCCAGCAAAGGAAACAAGTATCCATGGCTGGCCTCGTGCACATTGCTCTGTGTCTGTGTCTGTGTGTGTGTGTGTGCGAGTGTCAGACACGGTGGCCATGGGTGGAGATGCGCAGCTGAACAGCGTGGAGAAAGACTGCCGTCAGTCCTTCATGGACGAATACGCCGAAGACATCCCCCTCCACTACGCCCACAGCGCCACATTCAAGCACAACACACGCTGCGGTCGACTCGGTGAGGACGCCGTCGACGTGACCATTCACAGAGACAACCGCGCCATCATCCACCTGACCATCACGAAGAAGCCCTCCTCTTCGTGGCAATGGCAGCACATGACCGCGGCGCTCAAAAACCGCGGTGTCAATGTTCCTCTCGCCGACGAGATCCGAAAGAGGGAGCCCAACCGCGGCAGTGTGCGTCGACGTGAGGCAGCCGCTGAGCACGGGGGTGGATCGTCAAAGCAGAGGCGCCTCACGTATGGGCGGGAGATGGGGGCAGGGGATGTAGCTGGTGCGTCTGGCGATGGTGGGTTGCCGAAACGCCGACGCTCTCAGAGAGCGTCGGCGAGGGCAGCTGCAGCGGCTTTGAAGTCCATTGCGGCATGTAAGGCAGGCATGTGTGACACATACAGACATGGCCATGTATCTGCAGTTCTTGTCTGCGCCTCTGTGCCTCTGTGTGGTTGCGTCAGCTCCTCGTGAGCATGAGGGCGATGAAAGCGACGCGACGATGGACGACGCCCCAGATGAGAGTACGTATGGCTGCTGCACCAATCACATCCTCTGTCGTGTGAATGGTTGTGTGGTGTGGTGCGGTGTGGTGCGGTGTGGCGTGGCGTGTCAGATGTGCCTCGTGGTTGCTCCTCAGCTGCTGCTGGACCAGGCGCGGCGGCTGCTGCTGCTGCTGCAGCTGCTGCTGTTGCTGCATCATCGGGCTCGGCTGTCGAGTCGTGCAAGCGCGACTTCATGCTCATGAGGGCCGACCCCAAGACCATATTCTCACGTCTGCCAGAGGGCGTCAAGACCAGCTTCGCCCTCTGCGGCACCGACCTCGTCACCGTGACTATTGGCCCCTTCCAGGATGCGTGTGGTGGCGACTACTACGTGCAGGGCACAGCGACGCCACGCCGGAGGGGCAAGCAGGGGTGGAGCTTTTCCCAGGACCTCAGGAAGATAGAGCTTTTCCGTCCCCACCCGGAGAGCTACCACTTCATTGAGGGGCCGGGGGGGATACGCATCATCGTGGGCCGGAGGGAGCACGGCCACGGTAACGACAACCCAACAGACACAGACGGATGAATCAAGGGGCGGGTGGGGTGGTGTCTGTTGGTTGTGCAGGAGGCGGGGAGGGAGAGCCAGCGGCAAAGCAAGGCCATGGGGATATAAGAGCTGCTGGTGTGCGTGGCGGCGGTGATCTGCATCCGTTCGCTCGCCCGATGGCGCCGCTGCGCGGTCCCCACCCGCCACTCCGACCACCATTCTGCGGTACGCCGACGCACAAACACCAACGACCATCCCATCCCATCCCACCGATGGTTTTCTCTGCTCTCCGTTCGTTTCGTGGAAAGGTCGGCCCGTGACGAACAGGGCTTGGCCATCCACTGCGGCAGGTCAACCTGCTGCCGATGCAGCTCTCGTTCAGTCTGGTCGAAACGCGGCAGCGTTCGCCCTCTCAACGCCCCTGGTGCTCGCCCCTCACTGCCGGGACGCCTCGCCAACCTATTGGCAGGTGAGCCGACTGCAGCAGTGGGTGTGTGTGTGGGTGTGCAGCTGACTGAGTAGACTCTCTGTGTTTGATGTCTGCTGCTGCCTCTCAGGCGGTCGCATCCGTCACAACATGGCTGCGCCGCCTCCCCCACCAGCACCTGTTCCACCCCTGGATCCCCGCCCTCCAGCCCACTCCGCCCATGATGCGGCCGGCCCCCAGCACTCATTCCCCCATTGCTCCAGCCACCACCGGCAGTGGACCAGACAGCACAGCAACAGCCCCGGCCAATAGATCAGCAAGAGGACTACCCGATGAAGGAGGAGCATTCGATAGACGGCCAGCAAGCAGGGGATCCGCAGCTCCAGAATGACGAGCAGCAGCAGCAGCAGCAAGAGGATCAGCCAATGGACCCCGACGGCCAGCACAAGGCACGGGCAGCAGGGGCGGCAGGGGGTGGCGATCCGCGCCACCAAGACGAACAGCGGCAGCAGCAGCAGCAGCAGCATCTTGCAATCATAGATGATCACCCAATGGAGCGAGACGAGCAGCATGAGGAGCGGCCAGCGCTGGACGGTACTGCAGCAGCTGCTGCAGCATCTTCTGCTGCCATTCCCCCCGTCACGCCGTCTGCCGAGCCCCCTCTCGTCAATGTCAACACCCACCAGTATGTCGACAATCTGCCAATGGAGCATGTCGGTCCTCCACCGCAGCAGCAGCCTGAGGCAACGATGGACGTCTCGGGCCGTCCACCTAACCCACGGCCACACGCTGCTGCTGCTGCTGAGCGGCCAGAGGGCATGTCGTCAGCAGCTCCGGCCCCCCGGCTCTGTCGTCAAAACGGAGCCTGTCGACACGGCACCAGCCGACATGAACCAGCACAGCCGTCACGGCGGAACCAACATCGAGCCACAACCACACATCAAGCAGGAGCAGATGGGGGAGGGAGAGGCTGGGCAACATCACCCTCCTCCAGCAGCAGCAGCAGCATCCGAGAGGGTGCAGGGTGCACCGCGGGTCAAGACAGAGACGGGTGCGTCCGGGGCAAACATACGGGATGGGCGTGGGCCGGAAGGTGCGAGCAGTGTCGGCCATCACCAGGGTGAGGTGGTAGACTTGATGGCCGACGAGGAGGGCGATGAGAGCGGAGGGGGGAGCAAAGAGTACGTCAACAAGATTCTGCCGATGCTGTCACATGCGGAGCTGGTGGCGGCCCTGGAGAATCAGAGGGCAGCCCTGAAGAACCAGAGGGCACACGCTGCCCTTGAGGTCGTTGAGGAGGTCAGTGCAGCGAGGTGCAGCGAGCACACCTCCACCCCATCCACTGCAGACATGTGCCATTATCTCGCTCTCCCTCTCTCTTTCCGTTCGTGTGAGTGATTCAGATGACGTTTGACGGGAGGAGTTTGGCTTCTCTGCGGGAGATGACGGTGTCTGACGTCGTCCGTGAGTTTTACGATGGTAACCGAAAGGACAGCGCGCGAGTGTTCCATCTCAAGAAGTGGATCGACAAGAGTAGCAGAGTATGCATTCACTCAACCTGACAGCCAGCCAGCCAGAGAGACAGACAGACAGACAGACACAAGGACCACGTGTGTGCATCAATCAATCAGGGCTGTCTGCGCGTGCCGCTAGCATCGGCATCGGCATCAGCATCAGCATCAGCACGCTGACCATATTCCCCAGGTGACATGATATCCCCACTGAACCGACGACACAGGCCACACCGTGCTCCGCTGCTGTGCCTTGTTCGTGTGTCAGATTGACCCCATGGCCGAGAGTTTTTCTTTAGCTGCGGGGCAGTCTAGCTGTAGGGCGGTCAAGCGTGGCTACAAGCGTCCGTGGTTGGAGAGGGGAAAGGTGTGGCTTCATGATTGCTATGATTGATTCGTGTGCTGCGTGCTTCCTGACCGGCCCACCTGCCTGTCTGCCTGCCTGCCTGCCTGTGTGTGTGGTGTGATCCCGATTTACTCATGAGCCCACATCAGCCCTTTCGCCATTCACGTAGCGCTGTCTGTGTGCCTCCGTGAATTTAACACAGCTACGTGGAAAAGACGGGTGGGTGGGTGCAGTCACGATGACGTTGTTGCCGCCCAGTATTGTAGCGTGTGTCGATACCAAACCCAAAGCTCTGTCTGTCTGTCTGTCTGCGGCCATCGGTCCCTCTCTCATTGCAGATGTCCTGCACGAGTTGCAAACATGCAGCTCGTGCAACCTTGGAGATGGTGGGCGGATGAACGCAGACAGGCACAGACGATGGGATGGATGGATGGATGAGTGGCTGAGGCGATCGATTGTTGCCCCTTTCCTCCCCTTCCCCCGTTGCTGCTGGTTGGATGTGAGACACCTCTGTTGCCCATACGGTTCTCTCTCTCTCTCTCTCTTCTGTGCTGGCGTGAGTGTGCTGTACTTGATGAATGCGGCTTTCGTTGGTACCTTTCATCCCTTCTCTCTCTCTCCAGAGCTGCTGCCGCGCCATGCGAGCCGTTTCCACAGATTCGTCCGTGGCGGCTCGCTCCGTGGACGGCGAGAGGGACGAAAGCAAGACAGACAGCCAGATACTAAGAGAGGCGTTCGGCAGAGAGAGCCGCCGCTACAAGGACATGTCAAGAGAGGAAGAGAGAGAGAGAGAGAGTCGGTCGATAGGAGAGAAGATACTCTGCGATAGGTGGGTACAATAGGGCGGATAAATGTAGCACGATCCATCAGATATATAGTTGGCTGTGGATGAGTGAGTGGCGCGTCGATCTGTGGTACGCACGGACTCTCTCTTGTTGGACTGACGTTGAACCGACGTTCACCCGGACAACAGTGGCAATGAGCACGAGCGAAGAGGAGCGATTGGATTGAATCATGTGCGAGACATGTATGGGCACCAGTATCAATCAATTCAAATCGACAACACTCACGCACACACACACGAGCCACACAACACACATGCAGGCATGGATGGATGAGTTCGTCATGTAGAGCTAGCGCTGCGCTACCTACCCGCCGCCCGCCACTTGGTGGTGGCCGTCCTCCATACGCTCACCTGCCACGACAATCCGTTCATGTATGTGTCCCGCTGATCTGATTCCTCCCCTTCCGCCCATCTCACTTCCTCCTGCTGCTGCTGCCCCTACTTGCTATCGTCCCACTCATCGCCCCACTCGCCATCCACGTCTGCACACACACAGGGAAGGCGCCACACACATCCAATTGAGACCCATGCCATGGACACAACACACATACATCCCCCACTGCCGGCCCGCTGGGGCGGCGGCAGCAGGCTCTGAGTAATCCGATCGCTTGGCCTTGGCGGCGAAGAATGCCCTGCGTCGATATGCGGTGGGGGTCGGTGGGATGATGTGCGGTTTGGTTGCATACTTGAGTTTGCGTCTCTCTTTGGCCTTCTTGTCAGCCTGCATCTGCTTCATCTCACGCAGCAGCAACTTACTGCATGCAGCCCAGCGCACACAACACAAACAAAGAGAGAGACATACCATCAAAGTGCGGTCGCTTTCGCCCTTTTCCGCCCCGTCTGTCTGTCTTCCTTCCCTCAGGCACGCACCTGAGTTTTGCGTCGGTTGGTGCGATGTCTAGTGCTATGGTGACGTCCTTCTTGGCCTCATCGAAGTCCTTTGACTTCCAGATCGTGCTGGACCAGGTGGGGGTCGACGGTGCACCGACGGATTGTCATGGCACGCCGCCTGCATCCATCCACAGACACAACAGACACACATGATGTGGCGTGTTGGCCGTTCTTGTGCCTGCCGACGGGCATACCTCATTGAGTTTGCAGAGGGTAGCCAGGCGTTTCTGCTGCTTTTCGATGTCACGGTTGGGCGCCATAAAGGAGAGAGACCCCGCTGCCCGCGTGTAGTGTCGATGCTTGCCCTGTCAGCATCACACCATCACACCAACACACAATAGATGGGTGTATCTTTCTACTTTCGAGTCGCTGTTTTGCCTCTTCTGTGGTGACAATGGCCGGCGCTGCACACACACACAGACGGGGAATTCACACACACACACACACCACTCACTGCCCCTCACCGCCGTCGCCACCATCCTTGTCCTCCCCCTGTTGGTTGAGCACCATGTTTGCGCTGGTCTTGCCCAGCTGGCCCATGACAGACGGGGCGGTAGTGGGCCGGCGGTCCTTGAATGGCGCCGATGCGTCACCCACTGGTGGCTCAGTGATGACGACACACATCCACACTGCACCCAGCAAAACAGCACACGGCAAAGGATGGCTCAATTCAATCAGCACACAGGATCTGCACGCCAAGGCAGCCATCTTCTCGCGGCGATGTCACCTGGACACGAACAGGGAGACCGACTTGGGCGTCTGTGTGTTGTCTGTGTGAGTTAGTTGTGGGCGCACCTGATTCGGTGAGTATGGAGCGTCCGAACGCCTTGACGAGGGCACGGTGGGCGGGGTGGTTCTATCCCTTCCTCACCTTGGTTCTCGTTGTCGGGGCTGGCAAAAAGGATACAGGCGATGAATGGGCTGTCGTACGTCGTCTACAGGTGGACTCATCTCGTCACACCTGCCCGCCATGACGGCCGTGCATCCGTCGGGCGGCTGGTGGGGCGAGTGGTTGAGGAGCCGGGCGTGTCAGCATTCTGTTGCTCGCGCCGACGCCTGTCGCAGCTGCAAAAAGCTGGAGCAGCAAGTCGGGCACCAACAGAGACGCGACCACAACGAGCAGCCACCGACACACACAAGCATCAACACAACACACAGACAAGGGGTCGACGGGGGGCATTTCCATGGATGGATGTGCCATGAGTGCATTCACCTGGTTGCCGTCTTGAGAGTGTCTGAGTGTCGCGAAAGTCGCGTAGGCAGCCAACACTGAGAAGGGAACACACACACATACAAATGGATTCATGAATGGCCCAGTCGGCCAGCGTATTGGTGTCCGTGTCCGTTTCTTCATTACGTGCGGCAGCGGAGAGCAGGGCGATCAGTCAGGCCGCCAGAGACACCAACACCAGCTACACAAAGGGAAGGGAGACACACACAAAGAGAGGGCCACACAGAGACAGTGGGATTGCATGGAATATGATGTGTTGCGTGCCTGTGTGACGACTGACTGCCTACCAGCAGAGCGCTTCAGGTGACGAAGTGGTTATGACAGATTCGTTCGTTTGGGTGGTTTAAGGCGGGGGCACTGGTGTAGTGTGACTGTGAACACGGGTCGCCGTACGACATGGCTGCATCCATGCCGGGCCAGGTAGATAGATCGACAAGTGATGCTACAACATCTCTCAATGGCGTCGGTCAGTCGCGACAACACGGAAAAGCTACCAGCTCACACACCAGTTGGCAGCAGACAGATGACTTGATCCTTAGACAAATAGAATGACACCCTATTGAAGTCCACTGTCAATCACTTATTGAATGGTTGTATCCGCCAGCCAGCCAGCCAGTCAGTCAGTTGCTCACACGGCTCTTTATCATCCTCTTCTCCATCCAGTAGCCACGTCAGCACTCTACCATTGCAGCAAATTCAGACCACTGAGCACGTCAAGCCTCATCCACTAGAGGGCCTCACTCTCCATCCACGTCCTCGATGTGCGTAATGTCTCTATCCGAGCCACAAAGCGCTCGAAGAGCTCCTTGAGCACCCAGCGAGAACTGCGGCACGCAGGCCAGGAAGCAGAAAGGAACATTGTGTGTGACCATACGTTGTCTGACGGATGCTATGTGTATGGACCGACATTGGTTTCTCAACGAAAGCCGTGTCAAACAAAGCCGGCGCGTCTGGGTATTGTCTCATGACATTCTGCGGCATACACAGGAAGGGCAGAGGACAGACGACGTGGCGACAATCGATGGAGGCGCACAAGTGTGTCTCACTCACCTCTTTGCTTTGTGCAGTGCCTGTAAACACGATAGACAACGTTATGAATTGTGTGTTGCGTGTTTCGTCTTGTTTGTTCTTTGCCTTTCTTTCTTTCTTTCTTTCTTTCTTTCTTACATAAGGCAATGAAGAGCGGTGGCGACGTGCGGTCTTGCAACATCCCTCTGATGCACCTAGTGGCTGCGACACCATCCAGCTCCGGCATTTCTAGGTCGGTCAGCACAAGCATAGGCGTATCGCATGTCTCGCCGTGGGCTCCCGCCAAATGCCTGCTCTTCTTGTCAAGTCTCTCCTTGACGGCGCTGACAAGGTCCGCGCCATTGAGAGACCATGTGATCGATGACTCTGGTACGCCCATCTTCTTGATTATGATATCGAGAGACTGCAACAGACAAGAGAGATATATTCCGGGCTCCCCCCCGCCTGGGGGGGCATTACACCTGTCGATTGATGAAGTCGTCGTCAGCCAGGAAGAGGTGGATCTGAAGACGCTGCATTTTGTCAATGAGAGTTTGTAACACCGTGGAATCCATCGTTTGTCGATGGGGGCTCCCCTGGCCGCTCCGCTTCGCGACATTGAGCTCATACATGCCCCAGCAGTCAAAGCAGAATGTCGCCGTGGTGCCCTTGTTGACGCCTTCAGACTTCAGCTTGCAATCGCCTCCCATTGCCTTGGCAACCATCCTGCGCCGAAGAAAATCGAGACAAGTAGAAAATGGTACCGACGGAAGCATTGCTTTGCCTCGCGATGTTCAACCCTAAGCCGGTGCCGATGGGTGCATCCTTCGCTTGGACTTGCTGCGGGAAAGGACTTGATTCCATGCTCAAGGTATTTTAGCTGACCGGCTGCTGACCTCAAATTCGTTGCCGAGGCTTTGAAGCTTGTCTGCAGGAATGCCTCGACCACTGTCTGAATGCGGAGATGCGAAAGGAATGCTAGGCAGACCCCGACATGAAAATCGCTTACCCTTTATCCGAATTTCAATGGAGTACATCTTGAGCGATTCCGAATCGCACGACGGGTGTTTGACGAGGTCCAACGGAGGTGGCTGGCCATCCTGTAAATGGACAAGAGGTGAGGCACGCGACATCACTAACATATCATACCTGCTTTTGGATTGGATTAGAGGTGACCAGGACTTCAACATAGCCTGCACACATTGAAGCTGCCTCATTGCCCGTATTCCACCCGCACACAAACCTTTCTCAGTCATCTTCAGCGCGTTTGACAGCAGGTTGTTGGCTGATCCGCAAGGAGGGCACAGACATAGAGAGACACGTTGTGTCCTTTGGGGGGCTGCTGGCTGTGATCCCGCTTACCTGCCTGGCTCAAGCGGACCATATCCGCATATATGAAGCAAGGCCCTTGATAGGAAGGGATCTGATAGGCCAGCTTCTTGAGCCGAGCAGTGGGAACATGTAGATGAAAGACCTATCGTAGCAGGCAACCAATAGCTCGAATAGCTGGCATAACCAGCACATGACGGCACAAAGTCTTGATTTCTCACCTTCTTCATGCACGTGCGAAGGTCCATCCAGTCCTTGTGGAGTGAGAACACGTCGCTAAGTGTGGCATTTCCGCGCTTATCCTCCTGACATGCACGGTGCAGCAGTCTGTCAGATCGGCGTTCTTTGGCTCGAGTCCAGCAGCAGGTCGGCGTGAATTCTAGAGATGAGGACGGATGGATGGGCAGTGCTGCGTCTGTATCGTAGCTATTCTTCCGCTGTCTCTTGACCGTCAAGCGGGACACCTCGAGTAAATTGTTAGTGAGCACTGCGTGGGCAAATAGGTAAAGGGTGACAATGAAGTATCAAAGCTGAAGCCCGGGGAGCCTACTGACAAAGCATATATTCGGCGGCAGACGCCATGATGTCTATGTAGCCTCCAACTGAAGGAAAAGAGGAGCACCACAGAGAAATGATATCATCCTGTGTACACAGATTCTCCCATACAGACGAGCGGGTATACTCGGATGTTCTGGAGACACATTTAGCCCTTCTAAGTCGTTCCTCATAAAGTCAGCAGAGTTGATGATGCCTTAAAATCAGCAACCTTCATGAGAAAACGATCTTGAGTGATTTTTGAATGTATGCGGCAAGTCACCATTCAAAGGGGTCCTGAGGTCGTGGGCTATCTTTGCAAATGTCGCGTGCTGGCTGGCGAAGAATCTGAAATGAATCCCACACAAACAGCCTCATACAGAGAGAAAAACAACCGTAGGCGCAAAGATTACCGCTCTCTCTCCGCTGTCATTCTTTCCAGCCTTTTCTTTTCTCGAATCACTTCGCGGCTCTTGCGCTCCATAGAGATGCTGACCCATACAAGTAGCTGCGCCATGACTGCGGAGACAGACAGGCGGCATAAGCGAAACACATCTCCGACCGAGGCAGTCTACGTACGTGCATTGGCGACGAGCCGTCCCCAGAACACAGGACCTGTAGATGTAACCAGCTCGGCCAGAAGGAACCTGGCAAAGGCGAACAGACTGTAAGCCATATGCATTGGCTCCGGATGATTGGCGAATACCAGGAGAACATTGAGAAAGTGACACAGCTGCATTGAGAAAGCACACAGGTAGGAACGCAGATACAGAAGTGATATGAAAAGCTGACTTACCCTGCGAAAAAGCTGTTGGCTCTAAAGACGCTCCAAAATGCAACCATGCCGAGATCAAATGCCAAGTCCGAAGCCGGTGCGTCACCGTGTTGGATGTCCCATGAAAGATCAATCATGCGGCTGCTGCTAAAGGTGTATCGAGTGTGGAAAGCGTTGAGACATCCCATGACGGAAAAAAGAACAACCATGATCTTCAGATCCCTTGCGCGAGACATGTGACTCTTGTTCGGCCAGACGCTACGGAACAGCAAGTAGCTTCCCAAAAGAGACACTATCAAGCTGCAAGACAAAGACGAAAGCATCTTCAAGCGCCAATAGAGTCTGACTCACTTACACGTCTCGAACAAGTCTTGACGCACGAAATGTGTCGCCTTTTCCTACCCTGCCGACTTCAATGATGGTGTGCAACACGATTCTGTCATTCGATGTGTCACACGGTGAGTGGACTTGTTTCAGGCCCATTGACCATACCCGATTGAGAAAATGGTCAGTGGCACCTGAAAGGAAACGAACATCGCACATCTTCTGCTCTACTCATTCGAGCTGCCTTTGACTGCTTTTCTCTTGCCTGTATCCACCGGACAAAGTCCCCAAAGCACCACCGTTCGAACGCTGATATCACACATATAATGGAAGGATTCACTTCATGTACACAGGATAAATCGAACGCTTGCATCATTGAATTTGACCTTCAGGCATGGAGCCTGCCTCCACACCGGGTGGCACTAAGAGATGCACAAGACTACAATGGGAAAAAGGGAACAGGCGGTTTCTCTCCTGTGTCCTACCCTACAAGCAACAGAAGCCAAGGACGTGGTTTGGGATAAGCACACTCACCTCTATATCGGCCCAGTTCCTCGACTTCTCTTTCGTCAACAGCTGCTGCGTATGGTTGCCATCTCGCACTGCCCCGCCTCGGGCAGCGGACGTCTTGCCTTCTCTCTCTTGCCTTCTCTCTCTTGCCTCGGGCGGCTTGGAGGTGCCCTTCTCTACGTCATGCGTCTCCATTCTGGTGCGTGCACGTGTGTATTCGCCTGGAGAAAGGTGAACGGGGGAAGGTATTGGCGGGACCCGGGATGGAAGAGAGAAAGGAAGAGGAAGAGAGAAAGAGAGGCGTGCGTGTTTACAGGGAAACTGCGAGCTAGCTGTGACCATGAAATATGGAAGTCTGGATGTGGAGGTGCCTGCCTGCTGCGCCGACAGGATGTCACAAGCTGGAGTTGAGTTGAATCAGAGTCAATGATCTGGGAGCGCTTGCCTGATGTCATCCACAAGACTGATCCGGAGGATCCCGTTGGCTCTGCGATCCACTCAGCAGACTTCCAGCCAAACGGAGGGCGACTGGCCACAGGCGGAGCTAACAAGGTGCACATATGGTGGCTTGACATGCACGGCAAGGTGCGACAACCGCATCGAGGGCCGGCCATTGACCTGACAGACGAGAGCGGTGACGGGGGAGGTCGTGTTGAAGATCGGGACTATCTGCCCCGCTGCGGTTGCATTCGGCTGGCGACGCTGTCCCATGGGAACAGCAGTGTGTCGACGGTGCGATGGAGCCCTTCCGGCAACCAGCTGGCGTCGTGCGACTGGCCGCCTCCTCTCGCAGATGATCCCCTCATTGGCCCCCAGCTGCAGCCGAGCAGAGAGCCAGCCATCGAGTCAGGCGCCGTGCTGATCTGGCAGCGATTCAACAACGGCGGCCAGTCGGCATCGGCGTCAGCATCAGCGGCATCTTCCAAGGAGCAGAACCTGGAGGACTGGCGTCGCGTGCACATTCTGAAGCCCTCACCTGGCACCCAGACGAGGGAGGTATCGGACATATCGTGGTGTCCGGACGGCCTCCACCTGGCATCGAGCGGCACTGACGGCAAAGTGCTCATCTGGCACGTGCAGACCCAGACACTGAGGAGCACCTTGTCGCTGGGAGCCAATGCCGGTGCCGAGTGGGCCAACGGCATCGCCTGGGACCCCCTTGACCAGTTCATGGTCGTGGCATTGGAGCAGAAGGGCCGGCTGATCGCTGTCTGGGAGCGCAGCGACAGAGTGGAGAGGCATCGTCATCAGGTGTGTGGCGGTGGACATGAGGGGTCGTCCGATGGTGGCGAGAGGGAGGAGGGACAGGTCAGCGCGGCCGACGGCATCGAGAGCAGCGATGGACAGTGGAGACTGACAGCCACCATACGCGAGCCATTCGAGGACGGTACGCACGGACAACGGCACACGTACATGCGGAGATGAACGAACGAACGAATGCACGCCGTTCGTGTTATGCTGTCCGTGGTTGGCTGTGGTATCTATCGTCTGTCTGTCTGTCTGTCTGTCTGTCTGCAGGTCCCCGTCAGCCGTCGTTTTACCGGCACCCATCATGGGACCCCGAGGGCCGCAATGTCGTCTTACCGTACGGTGAGTCGCCCAACAGCCATGCCACATTCGGCGTGCTCTTCGAGCGGGGCCGCTGGGCTGACGAGCCGTGGCGCTTTCTCGGACACCCGCACCGTGTCTGTGCCGTGCGATTCTTACCCGTGGCTTTGATGCCACTCGCCGGCAAGCAGCCCTTCTGCTTGTGCGCGATGGGGAGCCACGACGGTGCGCTGTCGATATGGAAGTGCGGAGGGCACCAGGTGGTGTGCTACGCCATCGTCAAGGACTTCCTGCAGCCCGACGCTTCCCTCATCGACCTGGCCTGGACCAACGACGGCCTCGCCCTCGTCATCACGTGCAGCGACGGATCGGCGGGGCTCTTCCGATTCGATGCCAACGACATGGGGGGCAGGCCGCAGAATGAGGGCGGTGCAGCTCTGGCGAGACCCCCCTCATGCACCGGCCTGGCTGCTCAGGCGTCGCGTTTGCGGCCCCTCCACCCACTCAAGGGCACCGCACCTGCCGCCCCACAACAGGCACAGCACAAGAGAGAGGAAGAGCCGTCCAAGGCAGCAGCAGCAGCAACGGATGACAGGGAGCCCCCCCCAAGACCTTCCCCCGCAGCACCGGCTGCATCACCAGCACCAGCACCAGCACGGCCTGCAGCAGCAATGGCGGCAGGTGGAGCGATGGGGATGCCGAGTGCTGAGGAGGTGCTCGACCATCAGAGGCGGCACACGAGTGAGCAGCAGGGGAGGAAGCGCATCGCCCCATTGATCCTGCAGGCGTCTTCTCCTGCCGCTGCGCATCCGCAGCCTCAGGTGGGTCTGGTCGGTCAGTGGATCTTTCTATCATGCACACAGGCCTGATTCGGTCACATATTTATGTGGTCTTTCTGCCTTCAGGCTGCAGCAGCAGCAGCAGCAGCGCCACGGTCCGGGAGCCCTCCACCCCTCTCGCCCCCGCCCCCCGGCACCCCGTCGCCATCGGCATCTTTGCCAGCCGTCGACAGACAGGAGCCACTCAATCTGCTGCCCGAGGGGGCAGAGAGGAAGAAACGCAAGCGAAAGAAGGACGCTCTGCCTGGAGACAACAGCGACGAGGATGGTCGCCGTGGTGACGAGGGCAATAACGTGCGGCCGCCAGCAGGCAAGAAGGCCAAGAAAGCTGCCGCCCCCCCGCAGGACAAGAAGCCCCAGCAGCAGCAGCAGCAGCAGCAGAGGCAGCAGAAACGTGCTCCAGAGGCGGCCGCTGGTGGGCGGGGTGGGCGGTCGGGCAATGTCACAGCAGCCGCAAGCAGAAGGCCGCACAGGGCCCCCCGTCTGTCCATGGCGTCCATCCAGGCCACTGTGCGTCATCTGGACCCCTTCTATGAAGCCCACCGGGACGACATGGGCAAGATCTTGGCGGCCTTGACGGAGCAGGGGCTGTCATATGATCGCATCGACGGTCTGGTCGACACTATGGATGTGCCGTATGCCGAGCTGGTGGTCCGCAATGACACCGAGGGCGCCGGGGGGTCCAGGCTTATCTACGAGCTCCACGAGCCGGGCTGTCAGGGAGGCGACACAAGCGACTTGAACAGGGTTGTCAACGGCGTGTCGAGCCGCCACCTTGCCACCACCGCCACCACCACCACCACCACGACCCAGTGGGACTACTGCTTCCCGCAGGACGTTATATCGCACTTGGCCATCTCGTCCTCCCTCATCGCCATCGCCACGGCCCCCCCGCCCCCCACGCCCCCTGTCAACCCGTCCTGCCGGCTGCCGGCCACCCAACCCACGCGTCTCAAGGGCTGGCAGCCCAATCGGGCAGAGGTGCATTTGGTCCGTCGGCAGACCGGCTCGCTGTGCCTGGGAGGCCTGCAGGTGGGCGGGGGCGGCGTGGTGGCCATCGCACTCGACGCTCGTCGGCTTGGGGTCCTCAGCGGCGACGGACGTCTGCAGCTGTGGTGTTTGGACAAGCCACATGCAGGTGTGATGGGCGTGTGTCTGCTGCGGCCACTGATGGAGACCAACGTGATGCCCTTCTGCCTCGACAATATGATCGGCGTCCATTCGGAGGGCAGCACAGAGGCGAAAGTCGACTCGGTGGCCCAGATGTTCCTCTTGCACCATGACGGCATTGATGGCCTGGCCCTCTGCTTCAGGTCTGGCCGTGTCTTGGCGCACCAGCCGGCGATGAAGGCATGGCTGCGCGTCGATGCGCTGCCATATCCCCAGTCGCAGCACTACGGCAATGTGCCTGGTGGTGGTGGTTTTGAGGAGGCTCCCCGCCCTGCTGACATGGCTATCCCGCCCCTCTCCCCCTGTCCCCTTGCCGCACTGCAACACTACCACCCTTCGCACAGACACAAGCACAAGGCCGCCAACAGTGGGGCGCCTTCCAACGGCCCACCACCAGCAGCGGCAGCGGCAGCAGCGGCAGCCCCCGCTGCGTGCGCGTCAATGTCATCTGGCCGGAACGGTCATGGTGGGCCTCTCACTCGAGTGGGTGCCTTGGTGGGTGTGGTGACGGCGCAGCATTTGCACCACCAGTACTGCTGCAGCTGCCTTGTTGGCAGCAACAGGGAAGTGGCTTTCTGGCTGGCGGCACTGGTGGGGCACCTCCTCGACCATGGGAGGGTGGGGCAGCTGGCTGATGTGCTCGAGGGGCTGCTCGGGTGGATGGCCGGAGACCACACGCAGACAGAGGGGGCGGACGTGATGAACGACGGGCGGTTTGTGGGCGGCATGTCGGCGTGCAATGGTGGGCAGGACGTCAGCATGAGGGCGGGGGACAGTGGTGCCGCAACCAGTGACCGAGGGCCAGGTGGGTGTGGCCAACAAGCAAACGAACACACCAATCCACGAACATACGGACACACACATCTGTCTGTCTGTGAATCTTTGCAGGTGTTGGTGTGGTGCCCGTTGCGAGTGCCATTATGTCGCCCCTCTTTCAGCGGCCCCCCACACAACGAGCTGCGCTGATGGGCCTCATCAAGGCGGCCCTGCTGCCCCGTCTGGAGGCCGCCCCGTCAACAAGACCCACCACACCCTTAGCGAGTCAGCCGGTGGCCGGGCTGGTGGGTGACGTCAAGACAAGGCTGGCTGCCGTCCAATGCATTGAGATGAATGAATAGCCACATTCATACAGACATTGCAGTCAGTGCGTGTGGTGGGTGGGTGGGGTGTGTATCCTATCCGTGTGGGCGGCTAGCTGTGTAGGTAGGTAGCTTCTGCTTTGTTAACATATTGGGTACACTCACGTGCGTGTATACGTCCGTGTGTGGCATGGCCTGGCATGTGCGTATTCATGCATCCGTCGATGGTCTGCGTAGGTGGCCAGCCGGGCCTGTCTGTCTATCTTTCCCCCACGCAACACATGGCTGTAGGTCCATTACAGGGAAGTGAAGGGCATACACACATACATGCGGATCATAGATAGATGGAACACGCTTTATCCAGACCATATCCAGACGATGGACTGAGGAAAGGGTGTCTGTCTGTCTGTCTATGATTGCCTGAGGGACATTAAGAAATTCCTGCTCGCACTGCTTCGCGAAGCAGCACCGAATGCTACGACACAGCACACACACACACACACACAATCCGCTCCGCTCCCTGGTCTTTCGGCCATCGGTCCGTCCGTCTGTCTGTTTGTCGTCTTACATGAGGATCTCGATCTGCCGTCGGTTGTTCCCCCTTTTGACCTGTGAGCCCTCATTGCGGGACAGCCCCACGTTGTGCGCACCTTTCTCCCTCGACAGCTGCACACACGAACACACACACAACGCACCCGAGATGTCCACAAAGATTGAGACGGATAGGGTGGCACTATCAGCTGGGCTGGCAGTGTATGTGACCGATCTGCCCAGCCTGTCCATATTGCTCTTGATCTCCTTCAAGTACTGCTCCACCTGTGTGAAGGAAAGATCGCCATGTCTCTCTCTCTCCCTCTGTGCCTCCCCTCTGTCTCCGTGTCAGTCAGTGAATGAGTGAGTGGTCGACCGTTTGTTCGAACTGCTGTTTGTGGTTGTCTCTGCTGTCTGCCTTTGACAGTGAGCTCTCGAGAGGGAAGGGGTCCTCCGGCCCTCCAGCATCGACATAGCGCTCGATGCTGTCCTCACCCTCGCTGCACGACATCTCAAGCACCTGACCCACCAGACAAACACACTCACACACACACATGGGCAGACAGAGGCTACGTGTGTCTCATGGCCGATGTCTTGCAGACACTGACCGACCTGTTTGCCCCCGGCCGGCCCAATGTCAGAGTCGTTGAAGGCGAGGGGCTCGTCGAATGCCATCGCCTCTATGTACCGAACCAACACGCGCGGCGGCATCTGGGCCTCCGTCGACACGATCTGTGTGTGGATGGATGACAAACCGACAGACAGGCAGGCAGGCAGACAGACAGACAGCCGTGATGGAATGTGTCCATCCATCCATCCATCCATCCAATGAATGTGCGTACCAATCGTGCTCTGCCCATCCTTGCCAGCGCCCCTACATTCGCGAGGACGAGTGCATAGCTGTTGGCCAGCTGGGCTATCAGCAAGTTCAGCATCACCAGCACGGCTGCCGTCACAAACACAATGAGCAGCACCTGCAGAAAAAGGTCACGGTGCGCGCCGCGCAGGTCGGGACGCCTACACACACAGACACACACAGAGAGACAGACAGAGAAGGAGACATTCGATCCATGTGTGTGTGTGTATTCGCCGGCCCACCACAGGTTGAGCATTAGGCTGTAGAGTGTGAGGAAGGTGGTGCCCATGTTGTCAAAGTCATCTTGCAGGGCCGGTCCTCCCTGCACCCATCCATCCATCCATCCACAGGCGGCCTCACACCCACACTACCTGTGTCGTGAATATATCGATGCCTGTGCTGAATGCGAGCAGCAGGACCACCATGACGGCGACGAGTTTGAACACGTCCTGGAGCAGCGCTATGATGGCGTTGAAAAAAGCCGCCAATGTTTGCCACACACCGAACGACTCAATCACCAACAGAACCATCATGCCGCCTGCACACGACACACAGAGCTTCTCACTGTCAGACAGACATAAGAGTGTGGCTCACCAGCCGACGCGCTGACGACTTGCCACTGATAAAAGTGTTCAAAGAAGGAAAGAAATCCCGCATGGCCGCCCGCTGGCAACGAGTCGATGGTCTGCATCCACACACGTGTGGTCGGACACACACACTGTGGTTGTCACGCTCGTGTGCGTACTCTCGAGGCGTGCTGGGTGGAAAGAAAGAAAGGGTCCAGACCGGCAGCCCAGAAGAGAAACAAACTACTCACACACACACACACACACACAGGGACACAGACGTGTGGCTGTCTGTCTGTCTGTCTGTCTGTGACTCTGTGTGTGACCTGAGAAGGAGTCTGAGGACGTTCCATGTGTTTGTAAGATGGTAGGGGACCCGCACACCAAACACACCGACAATCGTCTCACCGTGCTGCAGCTGACCTGCAGACAGACAGACACACACACAGAGGTAGATAAGATACACGCCCAGACAGACAGACAGACAGACAGACAGGCGTGCATTGGTCTCTCCCTCCTCCCTCCGTCTCTTTGTTTCTATTTGTCTAACTCGTGGCCACATGGACGTGTTGGCATGTGTAGATGAGCGTGAGCACCCAGGCCAGCACCCGACACACAAAACTGGCCAGGGGGTAGTGGCGAGACAGCAACGTATAGCCAGAGGGGAACAGCACCAGCTGCATGACACACCAAACACCACACGCCGTACCATACCATAGCAGCCAGCCAGCAGGTTGGTTGGAACATCTGAGGGCCTACCTGCAGCAGGTAGATGCCCTGTATCCACAGAAACTTGGACCTGCCGTACAGATACCACTTCTTGTCCACAATGAACTTCAACACTGACGACAGACGTAAGCACACAAGACGACCGACGTCTGTCTCCCTGTCTCTCGCTGTCTCTCTCTTTCCTTCTCTCCCTCTCTATGTGTCTGTGTGTGTGTCCCCGTCTGTCTGTTTCGCCCACCAGGGTGCAGGAAGAGCTCTGCGTGTCCCTGTCTGACCAGTAGTCCAAGCGGCGACTGCCACGCAGAGCTGCCCTTCGGACAGCCCCATAACTCACGGACCTATATCGAAATGCACACGCCACCCACCCACCCACACACATAACGCACACAATGCAATGCAGTTTCCATCAGGAACTTACGTAGTAGTTGACTTTTCTGTATCCGTTGAGTATTTGGTCTGACCGCCAAATGTGTCCGTCCAGCAGGTCCGGCAGCAGGGAGGGCGCAAGTTCTTGCACAGCATCTGAATGATGTCGGGGTGGTGCTTCCACAGCTCGTCCCTCCTATAGTAGAAGAACGATCTGTCTGCGCGGATGGCCAGCAAGTCCCGCAAAATGACGCGAGCCATCTGCACCTTGCCCTCGTTAATCGCCCTGATCACGCCGACCAAGAAGAAATACAAAGCGAATGCACACTTGTATGTTGTCGGCTTGTGTGCTGGATCGACTTCCTCACCAATACAGGGGCGAGACATGCTCCCCATTCACTTCCACAGAGCACGCCCAGAGAGCACGCTTGTTGCGGGGAGCCTCACACAGTGCCAACTGCGAGAGACAGAAAGACGGTGGGTGTGTGGCTGAATGTATGTACCACATCTTCTTTGCCAGTACTCTCATGTCGTCAGCGCTGCCGCATATGAGAGTCCTGGTACACGCAGTTAAGTTGGTACTTGACGTATGTGTCTCTCGTCGGTCTCTTATCCGTCCCATCTCCCACCGCACCCCGCCCCTCCCCGTCGCACACCATTCACGCCATGTACACACAGATGACGGGATGATTGCCAGCTGCACACACGAGCGGCACGGCACACAGGCTTGCAGACCTCAACGACGCAGCTGCCCTGACTTGATCCACGTACCATTCAGCACCTTGGTCAGCTCAGACCCGGTCTGAACGACATCCACATCGACCACCAGGTTGAGCGTTAGAGCCATAATACATGAATCTGTACCACTTCCCAGAGTGCCTGCCACGCAGCTGTGTGTTCTGCCGTCCACTCCTCCCCCCCTATGCTCGCGAATGTCTCAACGATGAGCTTCGAAAAGAGCGGCACGTGGGACGGTCTGACTCCGTGCTTAATGTGGCGGAGTGCCTACAGGGCATGCCGGAAGGGATGCATGACGCAGCGAACGAAGGTGGACTGGCGTCCTGTACTGTGAGCTGCCCACCAGTTCCTTGTTGTTTTGCCACACTTCGGCAGGGTCATCGAGATGGGCCAACAGCATCTTCAGAATCTGACCGAAGATCCTGCCGGCAAGCCAGATACGTATATGTCTGCGCATCCTCTGGATGCGGTGCTTTGTTCTCACCGTCCATATGTGGCTGATGGCCGGACGAACAGCTTCTGGAGCGTCGGGGCGTTCGAAAACAGATTGTGCAAAAAGACTATGCCGATTTCCTGACACCACACATCATGCAGCAACCCATTCAGAGGTCGCTCCACATATCCAGCTGCCCCCCTCCACCGTCGTGTCCATCCTTGACAAACGCACACTGGCAATGTCTTCGAAGCTGGCAGTCTCTTCTTGTGCGTCTCCCCAGCCAACAAAGGCAGAAACACGCCGGCTGCTGGAGACCTATAGGAGACTCAACGACAGCAGCATTTGTCTGCTCGAAGTCACCATACGCAGCTTCACTTACAATGCTGGTACGCGGAGGTGGCGACTTGACGTTGATGCTGTCTCGCTTCTTGTCTCCCGCTGGACCGCCCCCTCCTTGAGGCTGCTGCTGCTGCTGGTGCTGCTGCTGGCTCAAGGCAGCGGTCCTCTTGCGGTCCATCACCTCACGCGCATGGTCAGACCCTGTGCGGCGCCAAATTGGGATGTACTCATCTGCGACCCGCTGTCTCTTCTCATCTCACGTGTGCTGAGGGTCGTGGCGCTGGATGTCTCGCTCGTGGCGTCCACCTCGCGGATGGCGAGGGGACCGTGGCTGCCCTCCGGCAGCTGCGGCGTGGCGTCGACGGACGGTGCCAGCTTGCCCTGAGCGACATATGGAGCCATAATCCTGGTGTGTGGCATGTTGTTCCGGAATTAATCCAACCACCTCATCTGTCAGCTTCTGTGATACAGATTTCCGGAGGATCCCCCAAGAGTCCACAATGGTCGAACGGTACCTGGCCCAATAAAGCGAACGGGTGTATGTGGCGATGGGCGGTCCCTGGTTGGATCACTCACTCGGGTTTCCATCTATCGGTTCTGTCCTAATGGCGACAAAGCAAAAAAACTCGTCAAACACGTGTGCACCTGAGTCGCTTCGTCCGTACACGTACATGTATGGCGACCTCCCTGCACACATGCAAGAGAGGACCAAGCCAGCCTTGTGTGTAGCTATCTGTGTATTTCCCCCATCGTCTCTTACCAGAGCCAGCTCCACACTTCCTGCTGTGCGGCGTCCCATCGCGCCCCCAGGATCTCCTTCAGCGTCTTGATGGCCACCTCACTCAGCTGCGCACCCGCAATACCACACAAGTCATATGGACGCGTCACACAATGCACGTCTCCACGATTTGACTGCCGGTTGCGTTGCTTGCCTTCTTGATGTCGACTTGGGATATGAGGGTCCCTGGCTGGGTGCCGAGACCGAGGGACTTGTTCAAGCCCTGACAACACATACATGCAGGAGATGTGTAGACACGTCTAGCTCTTCCAAATGTGGACCTGCTTGCCTTAAGGTGTTCCAGGTCAGTCACGATGCGCACCATCTTACCCAGAAGGTCGCATAATTCCCTGGCCATCCTCTTGAGGCATACAAACAAACACAAAGAGGGGATTCCTGTACAACCCCCACGTGTTGTCTTGTACGTATCTGACATGGTGTAGCTCATTGCTGTTTATGCTGGTCACGCGAACACCAACTGCCGTGGTCTTTGCCCTCATCCCAAGGCTCTCAGCGTCAACCATCAGATTGGCATGCAGCTTGTATTGGCTGACACATAAAAGGAGACATCTGGATGTACAGGGAAGACGGACTGCAGCCCGCCATTCTTTTCTGTGCTTGTACAAAGTCTCAATCCCGAACTCATCATTGATAACCTGTACATAAAGACCAATGCACACTGTGTGCACAAAAGTGCCTTTCTCTGCCACTAGCAGCAGCGCGCACTCGTCCGTACGTACGTTCCATACGAAGAGGAGTGATTCGACGCGCCTCTGGCTGGCCGAGACAGACGACATGAGCAGCTCAGCTACACCATTCCACAGCCACGTCCACGCCTCTCCTACCTGCCATCAATCAAGGTCAAACGCATCCGTCCCCATGGAATATACTCGTGTAAAGATGGGTTTGCCGCCTACGTTCGAGTCCCACTCGTCGCCCAGCACCTGCTCCCTGCAGAAAGGCATACACTACTGAAAGAATGCGAGTGTCTTGCCTTCTCTCCCTGTCGGCTCGCCTGTTCCAGTGCAACGAGGACAGCCTGTTGGAGGATCGGAAAGTACTGGAAGGGATCGTCCTACAGCATTGCAGCACAGTCAGTCATTGAAGAGGGGGAATGTATAGCAATGAGTATACGGACCAAGTCAGCAAAGTAGTGGACGTGTCTGAGACCGAGGATGCGCATCGACTGGTCCAGGCTCACCAAGTCGCCAGCAAATGAAACCATAGTTGCCTATGTTGGCAACCATCGATACACAGACGCATACAGCCATAGACAAACACAATGAAGGGCGTGTGCGTGTACATCATTTATGCCTTCACATCCTCACTGACATACAAGAACTGTCTCGAATGCTTGCGCCATGTACATGCTGCATACGCAACCACACACACAAAGGCACACAGCATCTCGACAGGTGGTTGTTGCTTACGCGCCGCGTCTGTAGATGGATTGGAGCTCAGGAGCATAACGCAGCATCTTGGAAAAGATGATCGCGCCTATGCTGCGTTGTATACATAGATAAAGACCATGAGTACATGACGAAGAACCTCGATGCGGGCCATCAGCAATCATGCCACCTCGCACCTGTCTCTTGCCGTCTGCTTGCTGAGCAAGCGGATAGAAACCATCAAAGAAATCACCATGTATCCCGCAACTGAAGTCGCTTCTCTTCTGTGTCCTTACGCTATGACACGACGCCGTGACTCCATGATGAGATCGAGGTAGACCTCGGCCGCCTCAGCCTCATCCTCCCCCAGCCGATCGTCCACTGCTCCCTCTATCTGCTCTACTAAGTGGTCCGCGCTGAAGTCACTCTTGGGAGTGCCGACCTCGACATTCGCCCCATGACACGCCTCACGGACAAACAGACGACGATGTCCATTCGTGCTGACCTCCACGTCTCTCTCGTATGCTAGGCGCATGCAGCCGATGTCATGATCATTTCGCGACGCGGCGAACGAGCGAGTCCCGACCCCCCGACGGAGGAGGGCAACTCATGCGAACTGGGGGCCTCCTCGACGTTTACAGCGAACTGGGGGCCTCCTCGAGATAAGATGCGGCGGAGACGGCCCGCAGACGACGGTCCGCCAAGCCAGGCCTCAGACGACCGGCGCTTGGCCTCTCGCCTTGCTCATCTTCGATTCATCGGTAACTGGACGGACCGATGGATGGACGTGTACAGTACGTTCCAGAACAGGATTGCGTGGAATCATTTCAGAAGCCTATGGACAGTGTATCACGGGGGCAGCGGCGGGGGGTATAAACGCTTCCCAATATCGCAGTGCGTGACAATAAGAGAGAACACTCTTAGCGCCATCTTCTGTGAGTTTGCGTGATTGCTTCTCTTCCAGGTACCGAAGCAAGACCGATGCCCTGAAGCATGCCATCCTATACCGCGACGACAATTGCCCTCTGGGAAAAACCGACCTTCTTCTTTTGGATGTCTCTCCTTATGCTGATACCGTGAATTGGGACACGGCCAAGATGGAGGAGTACGTCGCGACGACGCAAGGGATCGCATGGACCAGCAGTACGCCACATCGCTGGAGAGACAAGGAGGGCATGCGAGTCGGCATCCGCGTGGACATGCTGGAATCACGGGCACGCGGTGGCGGACGGAATCAACTTGAGATACCATTCCACGTCTTCCCTGCCGGGTCACAGGTCAGCACCGCTCTCCAGTATGCGCGCGCATGGCGCTTTCACTATGTTTCCTAAAACGCCTACATGCGCAATCCAAAATATCGAGGATTCCAGCATGTCCACGCGGATGCCATGATTCCAGCATGTCCACGCGGATGCCATGTCAGGGATGGCCTTGCCAGCCCGCATGCGCCATAACATGACCCACGCCACATAGTGGCCCATTCGTTGCTTTCCACCGTGATCGACGTGCGACTCGATCCCCACCAGCCGGTAGCTTCTTTCCTCTCCCCGGTCATCCACCTTGTAGACCAGCGGACACATGACCGGCCGTGGGTCTCTGTCCTCGCCAGACAGGATCGGCTCCTCCTGGCCGGTCACGGGGTGCCTGCGCACTCCCGCTGGCTTGAGCAGATAGCGGCTGATGGACACTAGGAAGAGCTGCCGGTGGGAATGAATCTCCTTTGTTATCCGAGTCGGGGTGCGCTTGGCGCACAGGGCACAGTCGACATCTTCAACCTCGCCGCCACTATCCGTACCACCACCCCCAGTGGCCCAGCCGGTGATGGCGTCCTCCATCTTGATGGGAGCCGTCTCTGGGTGGTAGATGTCGTAGTGAGGCCGCTGTGCGGCTGCCAACAATGTGTGCGCGTATTCTGTTTTGTGGCGGACGGCGGAGCAGATCGTGCACTTGATAGTGGTGTCGAGGGAGGCACCGATGAGCCGGTGCGTGGGGATCTCGCTGAGGTGGTCGGCCTCAAATTGCTGCTCTTGCCTCCCGGAGCGCTGGCTCATCTCAGAATTGTCGATCAGCCTGAATTCAGATGGTCTCAGCCCGATCACACAGGTGATGGGACGTGCTATTTGTAATGCCTTACCCGGCGAAACACTCACTCGCGTCCTGCTCGGCCTTCGGCGTGAAGCTCCCGTTAATAGAGCTGATATTGTCGACCCACTCTTTGAGATAGAGACTCCGCCGCCGTCTCCCGTCTGCCACAGATTCTCGGTATGTGTGCAGCGCCAGTTTCTCGGCCAGACATAGGAAACACATCCCCGTCCACAGTCCGTCCTCCACAGAGAGCCGTCCCACGTCTCCACGATGAGAGACGGCTCGGCTCTCGCAACATGTGCACGAGTGGAAGTGCGAGACGAGGAAACGCACGAGGGACGGGGCGTGCGTGAGGAGTTGGAGCAGCCCAAGCAGGTGGCAGGTCATCTCAGCTTGCCCGCTCCTTCGTATAAGACCGACAAGCGCTGGCTCCAAGTCAGCATCGTCTCCCTCCTGCAGCACATCATCGTCGGCTCCGATAAGATATCTCCGATTCGAGATACGGCTCTGCGGAGAAGCAGCCATTGGAAGATTGACCCTCTGCTGCGTTTGAAGATTGACGCCCAAGGGAGACGCGCCAATCGTGATTGTAAATTCTTCCAGCTGGGATGCTGGTTGTGGCGCTCTGTTTGCGTGTTTTGCCGATGGCAAGGCATGGCGGTATGAAGAGTATCCGGGACTGCAGCACACGGACACACATCCATGATGGTGTATATCGTAAGAGGGAGCAATGTGTAGTCATCGCATGGAGACCAATAAACATCATGAGATATGCTCATGTCCGAAGGGGAAGGGGGGCCTAGGCATGTCCGCGAAGCATCCCTCGCTCCGCCATACATGAATCACACAGATTGACTGACATGCCGTCGGCGCTTCGGGCACCTTCGGTGCCCTCCGCATTTGAGTCAATCGCTGGCTAGTCGTTGCTCGGCTCGGCCCTTCGGGCCTCGCCTTCGCATTTGATCACCACAGAGAGGCTGCAGACTTTGTTCAGGGGTGGCTGACATGCGATGGCGTGGGTGGGATGTGTGTCCACGGGCAACTTCACGGCCTTTGGATGTCCGAAGTGGAAGCATCAATGCCAATCATGGTTACCCTCTGAACGGCCTTCTGAAAATTACGGTCGCTGTCGCTTTGCTGCTCTCATTTTCAGGAAGGCCGCACAGGGGGACGAAGGTGGGGGGGGAAGCCGCCAATCTGCTCTGGTCATCCTCTTGTCCCTCGTGCCACGTCCTTCTGAGTGGGTCGCTATTGTCCATGCCGTCGACGACTCTGAATCCGAATCGCCCTCGTGATCACTAGCCAGTGGCATCTCATCAGACCTGCGCTCTGCCTCTTTTGATCTCGCTGATCCGCCCAACGACGCGTTCGTTCGTTCGCTCTGCTCCATGACGTGGATCATGGCGGTGAAGGGGCACCTTGATATCGTGTCCATGTTCTGCGCAGCAGCTGTGAGACTAAGTGGGTGGTTGTGGGGAAGGGGAGGGTGGCCGGGGGGAAGAGAGGCCATTGGAAACACTTGGATGCTGGAATTTAAGATTGCAATCTCTTTAGAACGGCCAACGGTTTGCAAGGTTCGGAGAATGATCGGGGACGGGCTGCCTCCCGGGCGGACCCCCGGTAGGCTCGAGAAGATGATGTTGTCCCGAGAACAGGTAAGGCGAGTGTCACAACCAAGGGACGACTCACGCAAAGTGCATCCCGTGTGTTTGTTCTCCTTGCGCTGCAGCCTACCAACCCTATGCGTCACCTGCAGCAAGAGCTCGAAAAGCGGCTTGGCAAACCAGTCACGTCAATCCCTCTCGACACGGACGAAAACATCGATGAGGTTGAGCGAGGATCAGGCAACATCAAGACACCGCAAGAAAGCCTCGCCAGTGAAGGAAGGATCCTCAATCAACGCGACACTTCGGCGGAGGCCGGAGCAGAGAAGGGCCGTGGGACGCCACGGTCCAAGTCACCCCCCATACATAGCCCTGTCAGGACGATGCCTCAACCCGAGCAGCCAAGGCCGTCGGAGCCACTTCCGTCAGCACAAGAAGAAGGCGGCTCGGCTGATGTTCCAATGCCGCCCGCCACGCCACCTGCGGCTACGACACCTCTCTCCCCCCCAGGTGACCATCTGGTCTGGCACAAGGAAGGCCTTCCAGATGACAGCAGGATAAGGAATGTCCATCGGCCGACTGTCGAGCGTCGCTCATCTTTCGAGAAACGCAAGGCCAAGCGATTCGACTCGCTGGAGGAACAAGGACTGCTGACGGGGCCTGTCGGCCCCCTGGATGTGATCAAAGAAGGCGCCAACGAAGTGATGGAGGCGGATGCGACAGAGAGCAAGCTCGACCAAGAGACTATCGATGGCTACCACGCCATTATCAAAGAGAGCTGGCGGCGCGTGATCACCAAACAGGTCAGCTGCATCCACTAAATGCTATTGGCCGCTCATTTCGCGTCTGTCGCCTCAGTCGAAGAAAAATAATGTGGGCGCCTTGGTGAGAAAGGCAACCGAACAACAAAGCCAGCCAAGTATCTGCGTGTGTATGTGTCGTGTGTGTACTGCGCGTTTCGGCAGGTATTTGACTCTCTTCTGCGCTTTGCCCCAGAAATCTCTGTCCTCTACAGACATGGCAAAACGTACATGTCTGCCGCTTTCGAGACTGTCTTGAGCGCGATGGTTGCCTTCTCGACGATTGGGGACGACGTCATGGTGGAGAACGCCATGCGCATCCTGCCCTTAGACACGTCTTCTACCTATCCACTATCAGCGATCCGTTTCTCTACTTTCCGATCATGAGGCAGGCCATTCTTGCAGCCTTGGAGCAGATCCTGAGTGACGAGTGGGACTCTACTGTCGCGGCCAGCTGGACGTGGCTTTTCGACTGGCAGTCGAAGCTCCTCATGGACGGCATCCGCGTCAGCCAAGAGAGGGTGGACGCCATCACCACCACATGGCAGGTCATCAATACACTGGGACGAGACACGTTTGTTTTGAAGCTGCACGCGAACCTGCTGGTCGAGGCTGTCGCACATGGGAGAGAAGACAAGCTCGACCAGGTCCGTGGGTGGTCGTGTGAATAAGGGGCCGACGTACCGTATGTCCGAGCGACATGCCGTGTGTCTCGCGTGTACATGAATCGGTGTCTGTGCGTTTGTGCAGCAAGTGGCTGTCGATTTGATGGCCTTGATTGAGGACATGGTCGACGCCTGTACCAACATCCATCGACTGAAGGTGAGACGCATGACAGGCAGGCGATAGAGACCGAGGACAGAGCGTCAACCCTTGTGAAAACGTCAGGGTATGAATACGACCATGGGCATTCGCGTGAGTCCCTCTCTTCTTGGCATTCTCGATCTCAGAAGTGTACGTACGGAAGAAACAGGCCAGTGGATGCATAGAATGCGTGCATGTATACGATACAGCTCAAGGAGGTGTGTGAGCGATCTTTGCGCGAGGTCATGGGTCCGCGATGGCAAGATGCACAGACAGAGGCGTGGCGATGGCTCTTCGAGGTGGCGATCGAGGAAAAGGCCGGCAGATGGAGAAACAAGTGTGGATGGATTGAACGAGCCGACATATCCGCTCACCAATCTGTTTTCTTTGCCCATGTCTCCTGTCCGTTCAGGCACAAAAAGCGAATCATTGCATCCATGCGGCTCCTGAGGCGCAAGATACAGACCATCCTGGACGAAGACGAAGCGGCCAAGCATGAGCACCATCACAATCCAAGCCAAGTCGCCCCCGCGCAGCCTGACGCCCCCGTGTTCAGCGATGACGACGAGTCGGATAACAGCGACGCGGACGGCCTCAAGTCCCAACCCAAAAGGAACAGCCGCGCGGCCACCGACAAGAAGCACTCCAACGCTTTGCCGGACACAGCCAAGACGGAGAAAACTTGGCGGTCGTTCTTTGCTTACTTGTGGTGTGGGAGGACGACAGGACATCGGAAAGACAGTACGAGAGCCGCAAAGGACAGGAAGACAATCGCGGATGCTGCTGCGGCGGCCAAGAAGCGCCGAGTATCCGTGTTTACGATGTTGCCTACGATGCCAACTGTCGACGAGGCCGTGCTGAGTGTGGGTGAGCCGCCAAGGAGCAGCATAGTGGTGTCTCAGTTGCCAAAGGCGGCTCCCTCTGCCTTCGAGCTTATCGGGGAGGGACGCGGGGCGTCGCTGGACGAGGTGTCGAAGGTGACGTCGTCAAGGAGAGATCGTTTCCCGACCTATGGCTATTGGGCCCTTTCCTGTCTTTTAGATTGTTGGCCTGAAGTTTCACAGTGAATTGTTTGCAGAGGGTGAGTGGGGACTCATTTCGATAAGATTTCCCCCCTTATCAAGTGTTGCTCTCTTTCGTTTGTATATCTGTGTTGGCGAGTAGCACCTAGTCTGAGCAACCTTTTCCTGAAGCCTACGGACGCATATGCGAGGCAAAGATAGACGTTATCTGGCGCCCCAGTACACGGAATAAGCTGTGTGTCGGTCTGTTGTCGGTGGTGTTTGCAGGGTATTTGTATCGGTCATTTGAATGCTGTTACAATCGCTCGATGACCCTGAAAAGCTGTGGCAGCAGCAGAAGGACCTCAGGTGAGCCAGGAGATGCTGCTCCTTCTCATGCACTCGGTATCTGGAAGGACTTGGTGCTGACTGGCTTCGTTTGTCAGCCTCAGACACATACAATTTGGCGTCCGTGCCGCACACGTACCCATGTTCGGTAAGCGACGACAGAGAACTGCCGCCTTACGCAGACAATACCAGTGTCGTATTTGCAGCAAAACCTTTTATTCAGACGCTCCGCTCTCTCGGCGAAGACGAGTGGACCGACAAAATGACCGTTGCGTGGTCTATTCTGTGGGAAATTGTACTGAGAACAACACACACTGAAGCCATAAAGCGAAGCGTGCATTGCCATCTTCACTTCCAGACTGGAGCTGGCCTAAATAGGTCTCTTGCTGCTGGCGAGCACCCTGTGACGCGGTAGACGGCAGGCAGCGCACGCCACACAGCAGTGCGAATCGGACTGTCGCTTGCTTGGTTCTGGCGCCAGGGCGCTGATCTGCGGCGGTGTGGATGACATCAAAGTGAGGGACGGAAATGCAGGGAAGAAAAGGGCGAATCATACATACGTGTCTCGTGTGTGCCCTTTTCTATGCTTACAGACTGCTCTCGGCGACGCCCCTCGGAGGTAAGCACGTGAGACTTATCTCAATCGAAGTGCACACACACGGGCAGGAAGGCAAGCCTGTGTATACTGGCTCTAGTCTTGGAGACATGGAGGAGACATCTGATCTTACCTTTTCAGTCTACGTGCTCTGTGGGAGTGCAAGGCGGAGGTACACGGACAACACGTGTCTCCCTTATATTGGTAAGTTAATGCCCGAGCGGTTGTCCCCATCCGCTCATGCACGCCTTTTGTGTTTATACTTAGGGCCATCAGAGAGGGCAAGATGAGTGTCGCCCGCACCTTGCTACAGGACGTGCTGGCCATTCGGGCAGACATGAACGGCTACTACTATGGTAAGCACACACATGCGTATCTACCACAATCGCCGTGATTGATCGATCTACGTGTAGGCAGAGACGAGCTGTGGCAGTGCCACCCGGACCTGGTCAAGGCGCTGTGCGACGAGGCGCCCTCACTCCTGCCGGACTTCCTAGATGGACACGTATGGCGGTCCGATCAGGTGTTTAAGGGACTCCGCAAGGTGAACCAACCGCGAGAGCATCAAGTCGTACAAATGCACATACGACGTGTTGTGGCACTGCCAGGTCAATTATTATGTCCGTGAGCTGTGGGGCGACCCTTGTGAGTCCAGTAGCGCTTGGGACCAGCCGTTGGGTCGTTTGGTGAGGCTGGGACACGCAGAGCTCTTCCTGCATCCGGTTGTGCCCTATATCGTCAACAAAAAGTGGCGGCGGCTCGCCAGCTTCACATTTTTCAGAGACCAAGCGGTTTACTTATTGCAGGTAAGAGCGAGAGCGAGAGCGCGCGAGAGACACAAGGGTGCATGTGGCATGTCGATAATGACGGGTTGTCTGTCTCAGATCGTGTTCTTTGTATTGGGCTACAATTTTCTGATCTCCCAGCCATTTCCGTCTTTCTGCTGTCGTGCTGCTTCATGGGCGGTGTCGTGTCAGTACACCATCAAGCACGTCGGCATTGCATATCGTAGGCCCGTCTCCCTGCTGCCTTTCGCACCTTTCTTCCCTGACGCATACGTACGTGTGTGTTTTCAGGTCAGGCGTGTCGTGGCGAGTCACAGGTGGTTTCGTTTGGCGGCCTGCGCCTCGCTGTGCCCTATCACTTCAAAAATTCATGGAACGGCTTTAGAGTACTCCTCAGGTCGAGGAGGAACACTAGACGAGATGCGCGTGTAAAACGCGGCTCTTATCCTGTTTTCATTTCAGCCTTCTGCTGTTCTGTGCGGCTTCGGTGGATCCGTGGGTGGTCCAGCAGGCGTCACCGCTTTCGTGTACGCACCATCTATTCTATAAGTGGAAGGCGCTGTCGTCGGTGAGTGGGGTCATGATGTGGCTGCTGTCCATCCAAGTGCTGGCTGCGCTGCCCTCACTGGGCGCATTCCTCTTCGCCCTGTCAATCATACTCAAGGACGTCATCAAATTCGTCCTCTGCCTCGTAAGCAGGATCATCAGAAATGCACCACCCATCCCATGTGCCTCCCTGCCGGTGTGTGCCTGATGTGTGTCAGTTTGTCCTGTTGCTGTCCTTTGGCACAATGCTGACGGTCTTTGGCCAGTCGCGGGGTCTCGACGAGTTCAGAGACCTTTCGACGAGTCTCGTTACACTGTACTCGTTCATGCTAAAGGTGTGGCAGCCGGACTTTGCGGGGAGACACGATGACCCATTCCTAGTAGGAAACAAGTCGGGCAGGCGCATGCGCTCACTCATTGACGGACGTCTGGTTGTTTGTGTTGTGTTGCTTTCAGGTGACGTCCTTTCTGCTGTTCGTGACTGTCGCTATAGTGGTGCTGCTGACGCTGCTGGTGGCACAGATGCGGACCTCGCTACACCTTCTGACGCAAGACATGACGGCCATTGCTTGAATGAGCAGAGCATACCAGGTCGTCCCACGCACACATGGGATGAAGAGATGGTCGCACACGCCCTCATCCATCCGTCCTTCAGGTGGTTGAGACGGAGGCCATTCTGCCAACCCGCCAAAAGGTGTCTCTCTACGATGCCATGCATTTCGACGAGCCACTGGTAGGCACACTGAGGGACTCACGAGACCGTGACTCTGTGTGTATGTGTCAATCGCTGCGTGTGTGCGTAGGAGTTCCACGGAGAGGGCGACCTCGGCCCAGGAGGCGGGAGGCAGGAGCTGGAGAGGGTGGACGACACCAATATAAGAGACAGGATCATCCGGTGTCTCGACAAGGGTGGTCCCGACGACCCATGGCCCACCGACAGACACGGATCAGCCGACACTTCACACGAGTTCGAGACGGCCACACAGAAGGCTCTCAAAGAGTGCAAACACTCCGTCGACAGGGTCATGAGGATGGTAAGATGCGGGTCACAAATGGAGGCTCGCGGCGAGCCATGCCACGAAGTGTGTCCTTGCATGTTGGCAGGCCGTCAAGAAGGATCACGTCTCCGGGTTGTCGCGCAAACTCAAGGGAAAAGGAGGGGGCAGCATCAGTGGAGGCGGCACCGAATGTAAACCCCTCACACACTCTCACATACGACATGCCGTGGTCTCTGTCTGACTGTCCCTCCCCGTCGACTCCTTCATCAGCGCATCTCGGGAGCGTGTTCACGGGTCTATCGGGGAATCCGACGAATAAGAGCACCGGCATCAGTGCGTCTCTCCAGAAGGCCGCCGCCGCCAACCAGCTGCAGGCCGTCTCCCGCATCATGACGCGGCACAAGACTGGCAATAGTGTCGCGGGATCTGAACCAGACACGGCCGGACCCGAGCACAACCATTCTCAGCCAAAGCTGCGGCGAGGCAAGTCGAATGCGGCGCTGAAGCGTTCTCTGGGTGGTGAGAAAGACTCGAGGACGTTGAGAGAGAGGTTGGGTTCCCTCGAGCAAGCGGAGCAGAGCGGCAGCATGACGGGACGACAGAGGTGGACGGGTGAATGATAATCCTCAATCGAGGGATGGAATACGTCCGTGTCTCTTGGTTACGCACATCTTGCGTGCCTGTCTGCGTGTTTTCGCTGCTGTTGGGGGGTGAGTAGACAGACAGTCCAGGAATGATCATTGTACCGTAGCATACGTCACCCGGTAGCCTCGCTCGCAGTCGCCGTTGTGTGTGTGTGGAGTCGGACTGACTTGTGTGCATTGACCTCTGTTGGCTATTTTTCGGCTGTATATTTGTACGCGCGTCGTACATGGGTGTGGTGGGTGTTATGCCGCACGCTGCAGGGGAAGGAGAAGAAGGGACACATATCAGCAAAAGAAGCGTGCTTATATGGATCGACTGCGTGTAGCCAAGCCGACCGACATGGGTCAGCGATCGACTGCAGTGAGTGAATGAATGGATGAATGCGCGTGTACGAGATCCTTTTACTACTTGGTGGCAGCGCGGATTTATTTATGCTCGCTGCGCTGACTCGATCGATATCTACGAATGCACTTAATTACTTTGATCAATCGGTGTCAAAGCTCATCTCTACTCCTCATGTCCTTCTTCCTGAACCCACTGTCACCCTGACCGTCATATCGTAGCACAAACAGCAAACCCTTGACTGGCTCCCCGTACTCAAACCTAGGATAGATCCGCTCCCCGTACATGGCCGAAAATCCCCACCTGCCACCCTCACGCACCACATACTCTCGCGTGTGTGCAAAACGACCCGTTGTCTGCACTTGGTAGCCCTTGTCCTCTTCGTCACTCGTCAGCTCACTCGTCAGCTCCTCCACAGAGAATGCCAAGAAGCCCCTCCCATCCTTCCGAATAACCTCGCTTGACCGCTGAAAAAACTCTCTTAAGTCACCAACGTACACGAGCACATCAGCAGCAGTAATCAGGTCCACCTTCCCGTGCAGCCCATGGCCAGCGAGTGCCCCGAATCCACTCTGCAGATCACCGACATGAGTGGCATTGTACACACCTTTCTCCTCAGCGAGCCTGATCATTTCTGGCGACAGGTCGAAGCCATAAAGAAAGGTCGTCACGTTGCGAAACACTTGGCCCGAGAGTCCCGTGCCACAGCCCACGTCTAGGACGTTTCTCAGGGGGTAGGCTACAAGCAAGCTCTCCTGGAGCCGATCGACGGCCATTCGGATCATCAGGGGCGCCTGATAGTGGAGCTTTTGCAACGACTTGTCGAACGTGTCGGCATAGTGGTCGAATAGCGACTTGACGTAGTCGGGTGATGCTTCGGTGAGTGTGGAGTCCTTCTGCATCGACCGCAGGGAGTAGTCGGCAATGCTGTTGCTCTTGTCGAACCTAAGGGCACGGCGGAAGTGCTCGGCGGCGAGCTCGACACAGCTCCCTGGCGAACACTCATACTTGTACTTGCGTGTGCCCTCCTTGCCAGCTTCCTCCCAGTAGGTGTAAGTCCCGGCTTGGATCCGCAGCAGCCCCTCCGCCAGCCGCGTGTGCATTTGGCTGATCTCCTCGTTCGTCAGGAAAGCCGCGCCGTCCCCTCTACGGGCACTTCGAGCGTCGATCTCTGTCTGGTCAGTAAGGTCACCCATCAGGCCATCCAGGATCTCCATCGCTATCTGATAGGTCTCAACTGCTTCAGGAAGGCTCTCTAGCGTCTCATAAGCAGAGCCCATGTTGGCCGCCGAGGCCACAGATGTCCAGCTGAGCGAAGGCATCTCACTCATGGCCGCCTCAGCGGCGATTGCCTGCTCATAACGATCGATGGCTTCCCAGTAGTGATGTGTGTCGTGAAGCACCGTACCCAAGTTGAAGAGAGCGTCCGCGTGGTCAGGCTGAAACGCTACAGCAGCCTCGAAGAGCCTCCTGGCCTCGTCAAGATCCCCCTTGTCGACCATAAGAGAGCCCATGTTGCAGAGAACAGACACGCGAAGCTCCGCCAAGGCGGAAGCGTCCTTTATCTCCCCGTTAGACTCATCCACACCTTCCAGTAGAGAAACGATACTTCGGTATGCCTTTTCTGCTTCATCCTTCCTGTTGCTGCGGTAGAGTGCGTTGGCCTCGTCGAGATGCTTTTGCAGCAGAACAGCGGGGGGGGACAGATCTGCTGCTCGGCTACCATCTCCGTCATTGAGTGCATGAGTCGAAAGGGAAAGAATGGCCATGCAGACCACAGCCGAAATAAGAGGCATCGAACCGATGAGCACTAGCACCGAGAAAGAGAAGAGCGCAACCGCCTCACAACTTTGAGCTTGCAGCAGATCTCTCACGTGAGAAAAGGGCTTCGTCAACGTTTCGCTCATCCATTGCCATGAAGATGCTGAGACTGTCGACGCTCTCAGTGCTTCTTCTTTCCGCTTTGGCTGCTGTCCGGTATCATCAAGTCGGGTGCCGCGCGAGCGACAGTGTCGCTTTCCTGAGGACTCCGCTGCTCAGAGATCAACGTCCCAGCTCGTCTGCTCTTCATCGACTCATTGCTAGTGAGCCTTTTGCGCCCCTCGGGTCATCCATCTTGGCTGCCGAGCCCACTCGTGATAGAGATGGTGACCGTACTATGATGGGGCAGAGCTCGCCATCGTGGCTGCAGCTATCGCTGCCGCCCCTGCTGTCCTTCTCCGTGACGGCCCTCATTGCCCTGAGCACTCTGCATGGCGGCAGTGCGTCGGTTGTGCCCCAGCCGCCCGCAGCGGAAGCTAAGGCGGTTGCGCCTGGAGGCTACAAACTGCCGCCTATTGATAGGTAGGTAGGGAGGCAACATGAAGGGGCATGCAGTGCAGTGCAGTGCAGTGCAGTGCATCGTGTGGACCGTGTGCGTGCACTGCAGGGCAGATCCCAACCGATGTCGCTTTCAGTCGTCGGCTGTGGGCCAGGCCAATGCCCAGCGCGACAAACTCTACGACCTGCGAGAGTGCAAGATGGAAGGCAAAAACGCCGCGGGGTATGACATCAGCGGCGTGCTAGGGTCCGAGGCGGGTAGGTGGGCAGCCAGGGCAGACACTCGAGAATCATGCAGCGAGAAAGACGGCGCCGAGGTATATATGTCTGTTTCAGATTTCTCTTACGTCAACTTCGAGGGCGCCCAGCTCAGCAAGGTGAGCCGAAAAGCGACCGGGCGCGCCGCACACACCATGGATTTGTCTGTGTATTCTCTTTTCTGCCCTTGCATGTCTTCATTACCCCGCCTGCAGGCATTCATGGAGGTACGCACGTGTACACACACGAGTGGCTACTGCTCGGCCCTGTGGCACCCATCCATCCCTCCCTCATGTGTGCGTGGGGTGTGTGTGGGTGTGTGTGTGTGTGTGGCAGGACTCTCGATTCGACGGCGCCAACTTCAAGGCAGCTGTGGTCGACCGCGTCACCTTCAAGCGCTCCGACCTTCGCAATGTCAACTTTGCAGCCGCAGTTCTCTCGGGCAGCACTTTCGAGGACGTACGACGCACTGCACTCACACGCAGGCCGCCCACACTGAGATTCCCAGGGCTCTCAATGATTCTCTTCTGCTGTTCACTAATGCTTGCGTGTCTATACGGCTCTCTCCCAGGCGAATGTGGAGAACACCGACTTCAGCGATGTGGTGATAGGCGATTTCGAGCAGCGGTCGCTGTGCAAAAACCCCACACTCAAGGTGCGGTGCGGTGCGCTCGGCCGCAAAGCTCAGCACGTGTACGTCAACGTTGCCTCTGTGTGTGTGGGTCTGTCTGTCTGTCTGTCTGTCAATTGTAGGGTAGCCATCCCAAGACGGGGGTGGACACGCGTGAGTCACTCGGGTGCCGCTCGTGAGTGAGTGAGGTTTCCTTCTCCGGTCTGGCTGTGCGAGGTCGAGGGGTGGCAGCGCTGGCTTTGTGGGTCTGCCGTGCCACACAACGATGGACTGGATTGCACGAGTTGGTCTGGCGAATGAAGATTGAGTACTCTACTTACTGGAGCCGTCTCATGCACTGATTGCATCCTGTCTGTCTGTGCACATGACCGACCGACAGAGGATATGGGCGAGGATGAGCAAATGAATGACGTGGTCGTTGCACTCATGCGGGGCGGGGCGGGCACGGCGCAGGGGATGGGCGTCCGATGGCAATCAATGCCACGTCGTGTGCCGGCCGGGCCTGGTGGTCCATGAACGGACGTACGCGCACAATTGACTGTCTGTCTGTCTGCCACGCGCTGCTGCACACGCGCATTCACGAATTTCGCAAGCCCTACGCATAGCTAGGGCTTAGCTGAGCACGTCAGCCACCGCCCGGCCCCCTTGCAGTGGCAAAAAGCTCCAAGCGAAAGCATTAGGGTTTAGGGCGTAGGGTTTTACGCCGGATGTGCTTCGAAGCACTCGATCAGTGACATCCATCCATCCATAGTTGTGCCCTGAGCCACCGGCTGTGAGTTCTCCAACTCACAGAGCGTGTCTGTCTGTCTGTCTCTCCAATTGTGTCTGGCTGTGTGGTTGCATGTGTGTCTGGAGGGAGGCAGGCAGTGTAAAATGAGAGGTCACCCAGCCGGTCAGTCATTTCACAAGAATCAGCAGCCCGCCCGCCGAGCGGCCGAGGAACCCAACCCCATCGCACCGCCGGCCGGGTGCTGTGTAGTGGTGTGGGTGGCGAGGTGAGGAAATCATTGCAGGTGAGGACGTCGGGTGTGTGAGTGATTGTAATCAATTCTCTGTCTCACTCACGATTGACACACAGATTGTCGGGTACTCATTCGATTCATCGACCGTTTCGTTTGTGTGTATGTCCAGCCAGCCAGCACAATAATATATGACACCCGCCGTCCTTCCCGGCCCCGAGGCACACACACCACCCGCACCCGTGCAAACGTTAACTGTCTGTCTCAGGTGTATTTGTCCGTCTGGCTGCACATCTACACTTACACTATAGCTAAATTATGTTGTGTGTCTGTACTGTACGTGTGGGTGTAGTACGTGTCTGTCTCTGTCTGTTTATCTCTCTATACTATACATCGGTCGGTCAATGAGTGCAGCTATAGCTATCTACTCGGTCGTTTCATTGCTGGGTAGGCCGGGATCAAGATACCTTTATGTATAATTATTTGGTGAATGATGAGTATGTAGGTAGGTAGATGAGACATACACACGTACACGTACACAGACATCCGTCCGTTCCGTGCAAACGTTAACTGACGTGTGTGATCATGAGGGTCCGCATCGATCTGTACTAATGTACTATCTTTCATCCACCGTATATATGTACTATTAGTTCCAAGTATATACATATTGACTGTACCGTACGTCTAAGTATATGTCTGCCCGATCGTTGCGTCTGTTGATCGGATCGGACTCACCATGCGTCTGTTCATGCATGGTGAGTCAGTCGTATATTAATTTCGATGCATGTGTGCGGTAAGAGCATGTACGACACGACAAGGTGTGAATTGAGAAAAGAGGATGTCGCATCGTTCCTGTCCAAATCCGCAAATCAATCAATCGTCCACACAGGTAGGTCATGCCAGCTCAAACATACTTGAATGAAAAGGACAAAACTCGTATGTGCTTACTGACTGATCCTTGTTCTCATCAGCACCGGTCAAGAGCATCAGCACAAGGACTGGCAGATTGCGAAGCATGATACCAGTGCCACCGATGCCCAGTGCCAGCAAGTGCATCCTGATGACGCCCGGCTCGGTTATGCTCTTAATCAAGGGCAAGTTGGCAGAGCGCACGAGGCAGATGTAGAGCGCACCTTCGAAGAAGACTTCGATCAGCACCATGATTCCCAGACCTACTAGCCTCTCTAGCAGGTGACGGACGGATGGAAAGAGGATCTGGCCGACAGTGATGTTGAGCAGGTTGCTGAAGATGAGCACTGTCAACTCAATCAAGCTGTAGGCATGCATTTCCTGCAGCAGTGGAAGCAAAAAGTGAAGAATGTATGGATCTTCTTGTCTGTCGCTTTCCTTTCTCACATCGCTGAGACGCCGAAGGAATATCGGGTGAAAGCCAAATTGAACAACCCGAGTGGGGACGTCCAGAAACGTGCTCAAAGATCTCATGTAATAGCGACCTGCCGACTTGAAACTCATAATGGTCGTAGAAAGGCGGCTGAGTAGCATGACCGGCGTCTGTTTATCGCGCGTTTCCTGAGTATCTTCAGCAGTGACAGTGTCGTAGTGCCGATCTCGTACCGGCCTGCGTAGGAATCGCACCAGACTTCTTCTCGCGGCACCGCCTATGAGAACGAAATACGGCATGGCTAGGTCGGTGACGAAGTCGAATGATGCAAAGATCAAGCTCCACAGAAGCTGATAAGGAGAGACATGTCCAGGAAGGACGAGGAATGGATCTGAGGCGAGGACAGCGTCGATGTGCCCACCTACCTGAGAGGAGATATATTCCATCTTGGCCTGGACGATCCTTGGGAAGAGTGCGAAGCCGAACGCTACAAACGTGATTGCTGGAGACGTTTGCAGGGCAGGGCCGCTCTTCAGAGAACGAACGATGGCTGTGACTGAAACACAGACCCAATACGCATGGAAACATGCGAATGTGTCCATCGATCGAGTCGCATTTCTTACGGGTCGCAACAAGGGGCGACATCACGAGCAGCCAAGTGAAGAGGACGCCTGTCTTCTCGCGATCTGTTGTTGCAGTCCGGGCAAGTGGCATGAAGTAGAGGGGTACGGCAAACGAAAGACCGATGACCACTAAAAATATGCCCCATGTCTTGAGAATATACGCCCGCTTCCTCACAATTATTGTAGATCTCAGAGCCACTTGGCGAAAGACCCTGACAGGACAGGCACAACGACAGAGAATATGTGCTTACTATCACAATTCTTTTCTCACATGAGGGGTACGAGCAGCGTGAACGGGTAGTGCATGAGCGGCGCATATTTGTGGCGTTTCCGCAGGACCTCCACGTGGTGAAAAAGTGTAGAAGCCATGTATGGGGCAAACCCAGGAAGGAATGAATACCAGGTCGTCCTCAAGCGGCGGACAGCCCCAATTGCGCTGCCCTCAGCCACAAGTACTATCAAAGCCATAAAGCATAGGTAAACGATGATGCGGCGAGTTACATCAAGGACTATGCCTGCTGCTCTCGCGCTCATCTTCTCGCACGCCGACCAGTACGCCAGCCACACCAGGGCCCAACAGACTGCAAAGCCGACGGCTGCAATTTGGTGGAATAAGAGTACCTGGAAAGTGACAGACCTGGAAGGACTGCGACATTGGGGGAATGATTACCTTTGTAAGTCGTCTTATAGTAGTCCAAAGCGGCTCAGGGGTGAAGACCGCACCAACAAATGAGCCTACTTCATATCGCAAGTCAGTTTGGAACTCCTGAAAGGAGGCTGCATGTCCCGCGCATGCTCGGAATTCATTCACCTTTTCTTCGAGCTCCACCTCCTCTTTGCGCAGCGCTCTCCCGTCTTCTTCTCCGTCCTCATGATAGACAACCCCCTCTTCTGAGAAGGTTTCTGTAGGCAGGCCGCAGGTCACGTCGTTGGTCCCAGTGGCGCCTGTGCTCTCTGGGTCAATGACATGCGCCTCGCCGCTGAGAAGACCTGCTGGTTCATCGCTGACTTTCATGACGTGTTCAACGTCGAGTTGCGGTTGAGCGGCGGTGAGCTCCGTGGTCAGCATCTTCGAAACAAGGAACAATTCGATCATCTGGGGGCTCCCTGGGGGCGGAGCAACCGTTGGGGGCTCACTCCATGGAATGCAACGGAATGAGGAAATGGGAGGAGAACAACAACACGTCGTGGACTGGGCCGCGTCTTGCATGCAAACGGGGGGCCAAGACATGGCATATCGGACACGGCGGACTGTTTGTCAGGATTGATTCCATCTCTTGAGGGCCGGAAGTTGTCTGACAGATGAGCAGCTATCTGATTGACCACCTTGAGAGAGAGCATGTCGCGTGCTCTTTCGTTGACTTCAGTGTGTTGCGTGTTCGGGTGTCCATACAAAAGCTCGTCCATTCAATGACATGCCCCCCACCCCTCCACGCTCTCCTCCAGGTCAGCTGCACACAGTACATGCATCAGAAGAAACGAGTTGCCCACAGAGATCAGAAGGGACGTACGTATGTGGTGGTTCGCTTGACTGACTAAGTGCCCGGCACCGGCCCAGCTGAACGCACTGAAAAAACGTAAAACGAGGGCACACACGAAACAGCAGGGCAGCTAGGGAGATCGTGTTCTCTCTCTTTCACTTCCCAGATCAGCCCCAATATGAACATCCCAAGGTTCGGCCTGCTGCGCCTTGATGAATGCCGCATCAGGGCCGTCGTCAAACTTCTTGGTGCGATCACTGGCTTCGAGCTCGCGGGAAGCTTTTGGGAGGAAAGACAAAAACCTCCCCCTCTCTTCTTCACAAGCCTAGACACCTACGCACAATGACCTGGCTTGCCTTTGCGTCTGACGTCGAGCCGGCCTGCTCGTGGCTCTTCGCGCGCAGCTGCACCCAGGAGGAGAGCCTGCGGCAGTCCGACATCAAGAAGGAGGCGGTGCGCGTCATCGAGAGTGCCTGGCGCCAGCAGAAAACCCGTCGAGAAGTCACCAAGAAGTACAGGTAGAATACGCACCCACGGGCATCAGCAGAGCACTGGAAGGAAGATCTCTCTCGGCTGTGGTATGTGTCAGCGGCGAGCTGGGTCTTGACTGCAGCATGCCGATGAGGACGCCGAGCAGTCTGGACGACTGTGACGACGAGCGAGAGGTGGGCGAGCCGTCTGCCCTGCCCCCGCAGGCTCCACAGCAACTCAACAGCAGCACCTGCCTCACCCACGACAGCCTCTGGGAGACCCTGTCGGAGGCCATGCCGGTCCACGCGCAACGCCATTACTTCCACATGTGCCGAGTGGCGAGCGAGTGGCGGGTGTCGTTTCTCGTGGCCGCGAACACCTGCGGCCATGCCGACCAGCTGCCGCAGACGGCCGCCTGACGACAGACAGACAGGCAGCCAGAAAGACAGACAGACAGGGAGGAATAGTAAGGCAATGGGGTTGGTAGGTAGTGGGTTGGTGGCTTTTGTAATCCCGCAAAGCGGCGTCGGTGCCTGTCTGCTCGTTGGTGACAGCTCGCTCGTGAATGTGTGAATTCGCACGTGCCCAGGTCCACCCATTCATACTTCTTTACATTCGTACATTCACACGACACCCACCACATGTGCCTGCAGACGAGGCGGTCACGGCACTGCGTCGACGTGCGTGATTGCGTGTACTCACTGGGCGGGCGTTGACTCGAGTGCGTTTCTCCATGCCCCTCTGCCTGTCTGCCTGCCTGCCTGCCTGTTTGCCGGTTTGATGTGCGCTTTTCTGCTCTGCTCGGACGGTTGTTCGCATATCTGCGCTGTCTGTGTGTGGAGTGAGCCGAGAATTTATGTAGCAGGGACGAACCAATGGCGAGAGAGAGGAGGCCCTGGCTGGGTGGTGCGTGTGTGGGCTGTGTATATCATGTGAGGGCGTGCGAGAGTTTGTTGGTGGCCAAGCCATCCGCGCACCTTTTTGCACGTACGGCTCGCCAGATGTTTGTATGCATGGGTGCGGGCGGGTGTGTGGGGGTACGAGCAGATCTCCTGAGGATGTGTGTGTCTGTCTGGTAGCTCTCTGTGTCAACGGTGCGTGGGTGGAGGATGGCGGTGTGCGGATGAGTCTCGTGGGGGCCGGCAGTGAAAAGAGAGGCTGTCGGTAGTCGGTAGGATGAGCTGCAGACAGAGGCCCTCAAGTGTATGAGGGGACGTGACTTTATTTATGTGTGTGTGCACGGGAGGGACCAAGTGACGCACGTCGGATGTCTGACACGCCTTGCAGCTGAGAAACAGACCGACAGCCAAGGGACAGACAGACAGCCAAAGGGAACCTGAAAATGACCTGCTGACCTGCACAAGTCCGATACTTGCGGACACACAGAGGTCAGCACGCTGAACGCCTGCCCTCGACGTGAGATGACCGAACACACACACCAACAGAACTGTCGCACCACACTACACCAGTGCCCCCGCCTTAAACCACCCAACGAACGAATCTGTCGTAGCCACTTCGTCACTTGAAGCGCTCTGCTGGTAGGCAGTCAGTCGTCACACATGCACGCAACACACCATATTCCATGCAATCCCACTGTCACTGTGTGGCCCTCTCTTTGTGTGTGTCCCTTCCCTTTGTGTAGCTGGTGTTGGTGTCTCTGGCAGCCTGACTGATCGCCCTGCTCTCCGCTGCCGCACGTAATGAAGAAACGGACACGGACACCAATACGCTGGCGGACTCGGCCATTCATCCATCCATTTGTATGTGTGTGTTGTGTGCGATGCATTTTGTTGTGGTGGCTGCTTCTTGTGGTCGGCTGTTTGTGGGTGGCTGTTTGTTGGGTACCCGCAGCTGCGATAGGTGGCGACACGAGCACAGTGCTGACGCGCCCGGCGGCCTACATCGCCGCAAATGTGGTTCTGTTGCTGGTGCTGACGGGTGGCCGATTTGCTGCGGCAATCATCACTCGGCGTGCAGGGATGCAGTCTGATGGATGACAGCCAAAGTGCCCATCGACCACATGGCTGAGGGCCATCGCAGACCTCTCACAGACACAGCCTTGGGCACAGCCGCAGCACCCCAAGGACACGAGGAGACACATTCATGCAGTGAGTGACACTCAATTGTGTGCGTGTGTGCGTGTGTTGTGGTTGAACAAGGGCCGTTTTGTTGTCTAGGTGACGTCGTCATTGTGGGGCCTCACTCGGTCAGTCAGCCGAATGCAGACAGACACATATGCTATGCATTGAGTGGGATGTGTTGCTCAGCCCATGCACTGTCGAGTCCTCCCTCATCTTTGTGTTTATTGCTCGGCCCTCTCTGCCGCACTGCTACGCTTCCAGCACACAAATACGCACACACCCAAAGACGCTGTCGGTCGGACATTGGAACTCGTGTGTGTGAGTGTGTGTGTGTGTGCGTGTGATAGCGCACCACCCACACACTCGACTTCTGCTTCCCTCGCTGAGTCACCGCAGCGCTAGGCGAGGATTGCTTTGCCATTTTCTCGCGATTGAGTGAGTGTTTGACAGTCAAAATCCGTTCACAGTGATCAACGAGGCACGCTGCATGGCGCATTCATCACAACGAAGAATGTGCACACGGCGAAAAAGAGTCATGATCAGTCTGTCAGTCTTTCTCTTATGAGACGAAACGATCAGTTGGTCAATCTTTTGTTGCGCAAAAATCAAAGCTCACCATCCACCCATCCACCCACCCAGCCATCAACGACAGGCCACGCTCACACACGGCGTCGTCATCGCCATTATTCGACTCAACACACACGCACACATAGCACAGGAATGCACAAATGACTGACAGCTCGATAGATTTCCTAAGCTGTCTGTCTATCGACGACAAAAATCACAGTGCGTGCGTGCGTGTGTGTCTCCGACACGCCCACACCACGGATGGACAAATGGAGTGAGTAGGGAGGGAGGGAAAGCAAATGATTCGCGCGTACGTATTGCATTCTCCGCTCTCTCTGAGTGAGCCAAAGGAATTAAGAGCAACATGCAAGGGAAGGGAAAAGCCCAGATCGAGTGAAGTAAGTGGCACAGCACATGCATGTAGCGAAAACTCACTGATGAATGCATCTACATCACATCCACGGCGCGGCACACGGAGGGCGGGAGCATCCAACTGGGATGCATTAATTACGCTGATCGATCGTACGAGCCCTCACTCCATTCTCTTGCCGTGCGATCAGTCTCCTGTTGTCGCCCGAGATGGCGAACGAAAGTGCACAAGTCACTCGATCGATCACGGCGGATTGAGAAGCTCATCACGCGTAGGCATGCAGAAGCCAGGATTTGGGCCGGCACACGTCAAAGAGCAACACTCGCTGTCTGACCAATGAACCAACAACACATCCATGCCATGATGTAGCTATAAGTGACTGACTCATCGTGCACACCGCCGTAGCACGCGACTCCCAGGGGTCTGCAGCCGGCGTCTGCGGAGCCGCCCTGCAGCAACCGCAGGGTGGGATGCTTCGCTGAAGGGAACACACACGCACAAGTTTCTCTCTCTGTTTGCGTGTCGAGTGCCTACCATTGGCAAGTTGGTGCACCACGCCGACTTGTGAGGCTTCACATCTTGCGCCGAGAAGGAAGATGGCCAGCAGCACCAAGGAGGAAATCCGCATGACGACAGACAGGCCGGCTCGTTGCCCATCGATGGATAGATGCGCGTGTGTCCGCGTGTGCAGGAGTGATACTGTCCTCATCGTGGCGGGATAGAATACATCCGCGGCTGTCGGTCGGTTAAGGATTTGACGGGACACCTCTCCCTAAGCCCAGCAGCCTTCCCCGCCGCAACGCAACCAGGCATCTTCTCTGTCCTAATCCACGCAGAATGCATGCACAAGGTTTGCCCATGGTCACAAAACAGTATGAAATAATATCGAAACGGGGTTTGAAGGCTGCGTGTATTAATATTACAGCGACGTCGACGTGGCTGGAGAGAGAATGACAAAGAGCCGTGTGGAGATAAAGGAAATCGACAAGTGTAGACGTCAACTTGGGATGTAGCGGTTGACTCGTCATATGCAGACACACACAGCAGGCAGGCGGGAAAAAAAGATGCTTACTCAATGACCAAGGCAGAATCAGATATACACCAATTCAGACCAATAAAAGGTGTCACTTGTGTCCTCGCTCACACAGTCACAAAGGCGTGGACACGACACCGACATCGATGAAAAACAGCATCAATCAGCACAAGTCTCTCGTGACCCACTTGACCATCAAATCCATCCCCTTCTTGTCCTGTCTCCCGCCCTCAAGACGGCTACTTTGCCGCCTTCCGCTTCGGCTTCGGTATGAAGAGGCTGCCTTCCCCCCGCTTAAGCATAGGTGGTGCGGCCTGCACCTGCATCGGGCGAAAAGAGGGGGGCTGGGGTGGGACGGGTGGTCGGGATGATGATGCAAACGCAGCAGTGGCGGGGGGCGGGTCTGGCGGTGGCGGTGGCGGTGGCTGTGGCTTTGGGCCGGGTGGTCGGCGGGGATTGGGAGCGTCGTCCGCTAGCTTCATCTCACGACGCTTGCTCGGTTTGGCACGGGAGGGAGGAGAGCCGGCGGTCGGCTGGGCAGCAGCTGCTGCTGGTGGAGCTGATGCGTCTGGTGATGCATCTGCTCTCTTCTTCCGGTCCTGTGAGGCAGGCCGTTCCCGTGGTTGCTTGCTCGAAGGCCGCAAGCTGATTGGGGACGGTCCTCTTGCCTTGTTGTCGTCCTTGTCAGCGTCACGCCTTCTCTTTGGGGACAGCTCCTCACCACTGTCCTTCTTGCGTTTCTTATCGGCCTTGGCACTCCCCTTCTTCTTGTCGCCCCGGCGGCCTCGCGACCCGTCATCGCGCTCCCTTCTTCTCGCACCATCGGCTGACGTATCGCCCAGTGAGAGGCGACCTAACGACTCTTGCACACCTTGCACACTTCGGTCCAGGGTGCCGAAAAAGGCGTCAATAGACCGACGCAGCGCCCTCTCGCCAAGCAGCACATTCCTGTCGCTGTTGTCTGCGGCGCTGGCGGCTGCGGCTGCGGGTGCAGGTGCAGGTGCGCGGTCATCGCATCTCCCCCTCCAATATCGACCAGGCTGACGCTGCGGTTGCTCTTGGTCATCGATCTTGATGTAGCCCCCATTCCCGTCGTTGAGGCCTTTTGCATAGCGCACGAGGCGCTTCCACAGCGGGTGAGTGCTCAGGGTGGGCGCATTGCCCACCACCCACAAGGCATCCCGCGCCCGAGTAATGGCAACGTTCATCCGTCGCGTGTCCGACACAAACCCCAGCAGGTTCTGGCTGATGCCCCTGCCGCCATCCCTGTCGCTGCGGGGCGACCCAGTCTGGCTGAGTGTCCCGTCCCCGCTGCTGTCTTGCTGGCTCTGAGACGATGCGGGCTGCTGCGGGGCGTGAACCGACGCACGCACACACGAGAAGATGATTATTCGGGCCTCGCGGCCTTGTATCGAGTCGATTGTCCGAACCTCAGGCTGGCCCTCGATGAACGACCTGTCGGCGAGTAGGCGTCTGATGAGGACAACCTGCTGCTTGTAGGGGCACAGGACGACGATCGACGAGAGACTGAGTGGGTGCGGGTTGTCCTCAGAGGGGTTCTGGTGGAAATGGTTGCGGAAGAACTCCAACAACTGGCAGATAAAGAGGGCCTCCCCGCGGTTGGACAGGGAGAGCGAGTGCTGATTTTTGCTCTCGGGGGAAGGAAGGTCGAAGAACACGAATGGGCGCAGAACGGGATGGCACGCGAGGCGAGGCCGGATGACCACAGAGTTGTCATTGATGATCTGGTTCTGGTAGAAGCAGGCAGATGGGAAGCCGGCGATTTCCGGAGCCATCCTGTATTGCGTGCGCAGCATCGACACGGGCCAGCCCCCTTCCTGCAGCCGCTGAAAAAGACTCCGGTCGTAGGAGAGACGTTTGGCCTGACAGATACGGGCACACACACACACAAACCCAATGGACATACATCGAACAGGCAGATGGAATGGACAGGTGTTCGTATGCGCACCTGCTGCGACAACACGGTAGCAGGGAGCTGCTGTGGATCGCCCAGAAGGATCATGCGCGTGAGGCCCAGCCGCAATGGGATCCTTGCATGGGGAAGACAACAGATGGAGAAAGTGTCCCGAGGTGTATCGATGGTGTGCGGATGTTCACTCACAGTGTGGACAGCTCCACCGCTTGTGCGGCCTCGTCGACGATCACACTGTCAAACGGGGCAAAGTCACCTGTCAGGGACACACCCAGAAGCGGACATGGAGGAGGGTCATCCATGACCGAATGCAGAGTTCCCTCTCTTGTGTCACCCACCCAGGCACTCTGTCGCCGATCCAGAGAGGGTCGCAAAGACGATGTCGGCGCGACGGAGGCTCTCCCGACGGCACCGCCCACGACACCCCTGCACGCGCCACTCCAACCACACAGACTGCATCATGTCGGCGGTGCCTCTTTTCACCCACCCACCTCGAGTTCGGATTCCATCTTGGCACGTATGGCTTTCTTCTCCTTGGTGAGCTCAGCCTTCTGATGCCGCAGTGTGTCCAGCTCCGCACTCTCGGGCATCAGCCTGTCAATCTCATCCAGCTGCATCTTGAGCTTCTCTAGCTGCTGAGCGTACTGGTCCCTCACACCCGACTGCGTGGCGCCCTCGGACTCACGCACACGGACCTCCAAGGAATATGATTTCAGCTCAGGCCGGGTGATTCGCTCTGGATGGCCGACACGAACTATGTTCGGGTCCCATCGGGATCCACCGGGGGTGAAGAGGCCATCCCTCAGCACGCGACACGCCACCTCATCCACTGCAGCATTGGATGGTGCGCACACGAGGATCTTCATCCTCAAAGGGGCCCGCTGTGATGCCGATGCCGATGCTGCTGCTCCTGATGCTGAAATGGGGGAGCCGACAATGTCCCGGGTGTCCCTAGCGTCCTGCAGGATGAGTCTGCGTTCCGCCAGGACGGATAGCAGCGCGAGCAGTGTGGCCGTCTTGCCCGTGCCGGGCGGTCCTTGAAGCAGCGACAAGCCGAGCTTCGACGTCACGGCCTCCTTCATCGCCGCAGCCTGGCACAAACCACAGACACATCAGGCATCCATACGCACTGACCCTGCCCACACCTCCGCGCACCTGTGACTCATTGAGCTTATGGTGCTTGGCCAGCTTGGGCAGCATCTCGTTCACACGTGCCACAACGGCGCCCCCGCCCTCACTCGGAGGCAGTGGAATGGCAGGTTGCTGGCCTCTCGTGGTAAGCTGGGATGGCTGCAGCAGCAGGGGAAACAGGGGTGAGAACTGTGAGCAGAACAAGCTCTGGAACTCGCGGATCGACGTCGTGAGCGAGCACACACTGTACGCCGCCCACAACGACGGCGTCCCCATCTGTGCAGGGAGCCGATTCTCGCTATTCCCGCCGGCATGTGCGAGCACTCTCAGCCTCGCAAGCGTCGGGAACTTGCCCGACTCGTCCTCAGGCTTCATGAGCTGCTCATCCACCCCGCCCCAGCGGTTTGTCTCGCCCTCGCGCTCCATCTCCACCACGCCCAACAGATAACCTTCATCGGGGCCGTTGGGGAAGGCCGATAGCAGCTGGCCATGTAGGGGCCCGTTGGTGGCTGTCGGTGTGCCTTCTTGGGGCACGGGGAGTGGGAGTGCGACTGGCGCGTGCGTGTCGGACGTCTGCATTGCGTCTAGGGGTGGGGGAGGGGGAGGGGGTGCTGGCTGGGGGATGAGGACCACCAGGTCGGCGTTGTGGAAGGGGAGAGCTTTCAGCTTCTCCTGGAGGAACAAATGAACGACCGAAACAGCGGTGAGTGAGCAAAAGGTCGGTACGGACTGGTGCGTGCACCCGACTGACTGACTGACCGTCTGGTCGTTGAGCGGCTGACCAGATTGGAACCGGGCCAGGAGCCACCTGTCAGCCCTCCGACGCTCCACCACCTGACGCATGGACGAATGCAGACCAGAAAGAACGATGGCGCGGCCACGGACATTGATTTGTGTCCACTGTAGACGACCTCCCTACCTTGATGGGCCATCCCTCGAGCACTCTCTCAACGGCGCTCTGAATGATGGAGCAGCGACACTCGTCCAACACCAGAGGGCGAAAACACCTGACGTGACGACACACAGTTGGGGCATAGAAATGGGCATTCATCTAGACGAGCAGCTGTCGACTTACTCTTGGAACTCTTCGAGGCTCGCGAACTCTCTGGGCAGCTGCTTCCTCTCACCCGACAGCGGCGTGACGGCTCTCGTGTCCCTGCCTGTGGCGGCCAGCTGGAAGATGTCCCACTGCAGGATGTCAGCCAACATTCCCTCCACGCCCCTCTTGGCCATCGCCCACGCCCTCTTCTTGTCCTCAGAACGCAATGGCACACCTAAGGCACACAGAGGCGGGGAGAGAAGCAATGACAGACGGACATGGGAACCACCTGCATGTATCAGTCAGTACACCCACCGAGTTTGACGCTCTGCTTCTCCCTCTTCCTCTTGATGATGTCCGGCACACCTGTGGACCCCACTGTGAGCCGCATCTGTTTGCCCGTGTGCTTGTCAGGCACCATCCGGCCCTCGCCAGGCATGGCGAACGCAGGCGGCGATGGCGGCCGGAAAGAACGCCGGCGGAAACCCGGCAGAGAGGGATTGAACACACGACCTGACGCCAATGAGAAACCGATAGAACAGACATGGTGATTGGTGTGAGTGCATTTGGTCACGAGGATGGCCTCACCCTTCGGATAAGCGCCCCTCTGTTTGAAATTTGCCAGTGGTCCCGCCCCTCTCCCGGAAGCCGCGGCCATCTTCCGGCCGACCAGCTTGTTGGCCGTCTGTTTGACGCGCTTGTCGTTCTTGCTGATCCATCTTGAAGGCCCCGGGCCAGCAGGAGCAGGGGGTCCAGGGGGACGTGACCTGGCGCTTGATGCCGGGACAGCCGGGGGCACGCTGGCCGCAGCAGCTGGCTTGAGGGGTCTCGGGAAGGCCACCTCACTGGTCCTATTGACATGGTCGTCCTCGTCCATGAAGAGGTTGTCGTTTTTGCTGAGATTGAGCGCGGGAAGCACCATGTCGCCACTGCCGCTCTTGTGCTTCTTGCGGCGCCTCTCGTCATCTCCCTTGTCGGCCGGCCGCTTCTTCTCTCGGCCTGGCGGCCGCCTGTCGTTCTCTCTCCTCTCGTCCTTTTCCTTCCTGTCGTCCTCTGCTGGTGGCCCGATGACCTCAGTGGCTGACGAGGCATCGTCTTGGCCTCTCTGCAGGAGCCTCCGTAGGTCCTGTGGCAGTGGGGAGGGCAGCAGCGTCTCGTCCGTGTAGATGGCCTTGATGGCCTCACGCAGACGCGATGAGGCCGCCCGTGCGGACAGCAGGTGGCTTGTGGCGGGGCCGACGTGGGCGTCCAGAGCGTCGATCCACTCCATGAGGGGGCCAACCCACTCCATTGGCTGGTCCCTGAGGTGCTCCATGTGGTGCCTCCGCAGGGACAGGGACAGCTCGCCCTTGTCCACCACTCCCTCTCCCTCCCCCTCGCCGTCCTGCTCGTCATCGTCCCCCGTCAGGTCAACCATGGCCTGCCGCAGGTCGGACTCGTCGTCGGGGGATGGTGACGGCTGCGGCAGGCCGCTGACGGCGACAGAGGTCCACGTGAAGAAGTCGGCCAGGAAGGGGAAGACAATAGCGAAGAGGGCATCGATGGAGAGAGAGGGGGGAGGGGCGGCGGCCATCTGCCGGACGGAGTAGGTCCACCACTCGTGGGGGTGGTGCTTTAGGGGTGTGGTGTTGTGAGATGCGGGGCCGAGGATGTGCGGCAGGAACGACCAAATGAGATCGACCAAACCCAATAGCGTGCCCACCTGGCGAACAGCAACCATGTAGTATGCAGACAGAAGATATCTGTCTGTCTGTCTGTCTGTCTTCCTCCTTTTCTCCGTACCTCTTCTCGCGCCCGTGCGGGGTCACCATCCTGGCCCCTCTTGATTGCCGGCAGCCACCCAATCACCTTGCTCGCCCACCACAGCAACCTCGACAGCCGGACGGGCGGCCACATCGCCACGTGCACGCACTTGTTCGTCTCGCTAGCGGCCCTTTTGAGGCTGTCCTCGAGGGTGGCCTGCCTCAATTGACCACCGCTGCCGCCAAACGAAGGCCAGGCGGCCGGCACATTGCCGGACGCTATCAACCGGCTCCAGAGGTCCCTTTCAGTAGCCATGGTGTCGAGGGTATGAATGGCGTGCTCGCAGAAGCCAACCAGGAAGGACAACCGCTCGGCGGGGTGACATAGCAGTGGCTGACAGATGTCAGGGATGGGTGACACACAAGAGGAGCAGGTGCATGGGCTGTAACTGACCCGCCCACCGACCCACCGACCTGCAGCTGAGCGGCGTGAAGGCGATCGGTCTCGTCGCCGCATGTCCATGCCTGCCTCCCAGCCAGCACGATGACCTCGTCGCCATTCGCCGCTTCACTGCTCCCCTTGGCCTGGCTGAGGGGCACCAGCAGCTTCAGCACGTGTGTGGTGTATGAGGTGGTGCCGCTGATCAGCAAACTGGCTAATGACTCGAGAGCCGACTCGAAGAAACGCTCCTGACGACGGCAAGAAAGGGAAGGCTCCACACCTGTTTTCGGTCATGCCTGCTGCCTTGCCTTGCCTTGCTTTACTCACGCACACGCGCACCGGGAGGTATTTCTCGCGGTGCTGCTGCAGAGCGACGACCTCCCGAGGCAGCACCGGCGGCACACCTGAGGTGGGAGTCAACACATAGACACGGCGCTGCATGTCCGTGTGTCGATCGCACCGGCTCCCTCGTCCGTCTGCACGTCAATCACCGCCCCAGGCGCCGCATATTTGCGCAGCCGCTCCACGAGCGCCCTCACCATCAGGTCGACAGCCCGGTCCAGCACCGACAGCAGGGCCTGCGTCTCGGATGGCATGCCAGTGAGGTTGGAGAGCGGGACCCGCTGAATGAATGCTGGGACGAGCGACCAGAGGGAGGTCATGAGACCGCCCTCCTCCCACTCCTGGGGATTGGCGTGAGACGCCTTGAGGGCCACGGGGAGCAGATGGAGCAGCGGTGACAGACCTGATATGCCGATGAAGCATACAGGCAGGACGCTTCATAAGGGAAGGGTCTGTTGCTCTGCCCACCCTCCCGGCCACCCACCTTCGTTTGGTCTGCCCTGATGTACCCACCCATCCGGAATCCCCTGCCTCGCATCGCCGCCACCACTGCCACTGCTGCGAGCCCCCGCACTCGCCGACGGCCGGTCATCCCCCAGGGCAACAAAGCCGTTGGAGCGATGAACCGCCTGCTGGAAGGCTCTGGATGCCGCATAGAAGAGGGACGTGACGGCCGTCGCCCGCAGCTGACACACCGAGTCGCCCCACACATCACGACGCAACGTCAGGGGCGGCAGCGACTCGCTCTGGCCCTCAGACGCCTCCATCCCGCAGCACTGGCAGCCGGCCAACCCCGCGTGGCACACGCACACCAAGTTGGGCCGGTCACCTGGGTCAGTGGCCACCGCTGACGTGATGACCCGCTCCAGCGGAGGAAGGATCGTGCGCAGATGGACGAGCAGCATGGGTTCAGGTTGGGGGCTTGGCGCGTAGATGTCGACCTCGGAGATTCTGTCACGGTGTGCGATGAGAGTGAGGAAGAGCACCTGGGAGAAAGTCGTGAGCGCTTGGTGGTGGGAGAGGGGGGAGGGGGAGTCCAGGTCGATGACGGCCGATGCCGAAGAGGAGGGGGACATGACGGACGAGCTGAGAGAAGCAACATGGTCCATGAGCTTGACGGACCGCGCAACAATGAGGGCGAATAGCTGCTGTGGCTGAGAGAGGCTGGAGAGGCTCTCGGCCCAGTATACCAGCAACTGACGGACAGACGGACGGACACAAAGGGGGCATCCATGAGTCTGTGGCATTCTCTCTCACTGGCTGACCTGCATGCCCTCGATCGCCGCCCGCGCTACCGTCTGCCAGACGACCAGTTCATATGACGGCCCACCCGGGCCTGCTGCCGCTGAGTAGAGGCCCTGCCCTCCCTTCATCAGCGCCACATGGGCGATCGTCAGGGAGGCATCCACAGCGTCACATATCATCGACAAGACCTGTACGGAGGACGATCAGAGAGAACACAACAGAGGATGGAGTGGGGGAGCCTCTGTTGGTTGGTGCATCCATGGCGATCCTACTTTCTCCACAGGTCCCCCTAGCTCGTCGGCACCCTTCCTGGTGACCTCGGCTGCCATTCTTTCCATCTGCTTCAGCCACCCGTCCCCCCCGCCCGCCTCATCCACATGATGCCCATCCATGGCGGCAGCGCCCCGCCTAGCCTCCTCCTGCAGAGCCCGGAAGGCGTGAAGCATCGCGGCCGCCAGGGCGACTGTCTCGCGGGGCACCGACGCACCCAAACCGCCCTCCCTCTCCGCCCATGACGCGCCCAGCCGCAGAAGGTTTTGAGTGGCGCTCAGATACCACTGAGTGACGCCGATGAACGGTCTCGACAGCGTCGCGCCGCTCTCCTGCTGCTCCCCTTGGTGCGTCAGGCCGATATGACCGAGCAGCCCCAGCTCAGAGAGAGAGCTGACGGCGCGCCACCCTCTGCACTGGTCGATGGCTCGTGCCAGCGATGGCTGGGGGGGAGTCGTCTGGGGGAGGGTCGTCACAAGGCCACGCTGCAGAGTCACCAGAGCTTCGTATGCATTGGCGGCGATGCTGGCGAGCAGCCGTGGGTCTCGATCGCCATAGTCGATGGCTCTGTCGATTCCCTCATAGGCGATGCGGCGGACAGAGGGGGACGGGTGGCACAGCAGGGAGAACCAACACGACTGGAAGAAGCTGTGGGCGCCAGACAGAGGAGCCGTCATCATCAGCAGCTCGTCCTCATTCTCGGCCCCATTGGCCGCGACGTCACGCTCGGCGGGCGCCTTCGCGAACATCTCCGCAACGGCGGTAATGACATCGTCCTTCTCCTGTTGCCACAGCGGCATGACTTGCCCTTGGCACAGATAGTAGTCGCCATAGCAGCAAGCCTCAAACACAGCCGACTCAAAGGCTGGGTTGCCTGCCCCGAGCCGCAGAGCGTTCTCCACTCTCTCCACATCCCACCGCCGCAGCTCCGCCATCCTCTCCCTGACGTCCTGCTCGTCCTCGAAGTGCTGCGTCAGCGCCCTCTCTAGCTGACGCCGGTGGTAGTGGTATGCTATGACGCAATCCCTGCAGCCGGGGAAGGTCTCGATGGCGAACCGATTGTATACCCCCCGCACGTTGGTTCGCAGGAAGACACAGAAGATGAAGCGGGCGGCGTCGTGACTGTGCGAGGTGTCACAGAAGGGGTGGGCAGCCGATCCAAGAGCCCTCAGTGACTCGTCGAGAGCAGTCAGCGGCCTCCCCTTCTCGGCATCCTCGAGTAGCCTCTCCAGCCCTCCGTCATCGAAGTCCAGTAGCCGGCAGAGGACAGAGCCATCGGGGAGGGCTGCATCAGTACCGTTGCCGACCCGCCCCTTGTTGAAACTCGCCGAAATGTGCTGCATCTCTGGCCGGCGGCTGCTGTCGTCACGTTGTCGCTGCAGGTCGCATGAAATGGTCGCTACGTGCCGCTTGGACTCCGATGTCCGCCGTCATGGTGACAATGTGGACGGATCTGCGTCACTTCCACTCCATCTATCGCGTGTAGAACAGCGGCTGTCAGATTATCACCGTCAGGATCCTCCAAGGAAGACTGTCGAAGCAGACAGAGGTCCGCCTGCTCGCAGCTCTCATCCGCGAATTGGGCTAGTGCCCAATTTGCGCCTTTAAGAAACAACACGTTCGGCAGACAAAACTTTCGATCACGATCGTACGGAAGAGAAAAGGAAAAGCGGTAGCGGTGTTGTGTTGCTTGTAGTACTACAGACACTTCAATATGTCGAGAAGCTTCGTGTTTTTTGTCATGTTTGGACCAGTAAGTATTAAACTGATGTACCCTAAAGCTTCAAGTTAGTGAACAAAGCTTGGCCGTCCCCGGTCCTCCCTGAAACCGCTCTGCTTGAAAAAGATCGCGATTGCCTCGCGCGGAGAGAATCAACGAAGAAGGGTCTCTCTGGGCGCGAACTTCTTAAAAAAGCAAGATCCGTAACGGAAGAAGCATCAACTGACTGAACAAACACACGAACGCGCCAGTTTGTGGTGGATGGATGTTTCTCTTGTCCGTTCATCCAGCTGGTTGAGCTTGGTTTTTCTTGGGTGCCTTCTCGCAGGTCCCTCAGTGCCGCATCGACTTTGACGAGCTTCTGGAGCTTAAAGAAAGAGATCTCGCCGACTATTGTGCAGTGGACTTGGTAGTGGATATGCTTGCAAGACTCCTCTCTGCAAATGCGGTTACCATCGACTGTCTGCTGCTTCCCGCTCGGCGCCGCAGCGTCTTCTCGCCACTCTCGAAGTCATCGAAGATGTGCAGGAGCGAATCGATTGTTGAGCCTTCGATATTGGTAGGTGCTGCCAGACACAGCCAGTGTCGGCATTGCAGT